AGTTTAATTTTTATTTTAAAGTTTTGATTAAAAAACTACATTTTCTTACTCTCGCTGGCTAACTTATCTATACTGCATCGTTAAGTAATAAGCAAAAAATTCATCACGTTTCATTTATGCAGCCGCACGTTCACATATCGTAACTTATTACGCATGACATTTTATTACAAACATGAATCAACTGACTTTTTTTAGCAAAACAATTTCTTTAGGTATACATATATGTAGGTATCACTTTAGATACTTATGTAATTAGATAAATCTTCATATAAATCGTTTTCATACGTGTGTGTATTTGTCATCAGCTGCAACAAGCTTGGTCGGATCATGGCGCACAGATTCGTGACACATTAACACGTAACTTAATTTAATAGGAAAATTAATATAATTGGCTATTTGGCTATTTCTGAATGAAATATTTTTTATACATTAATTAATAGGTATGTAACTGCATTTTTTCCCCACCCCGAAAGTAATTCATTCATTATTTGATAATTGGAAAGCACCATTTCTAATTGGCGTAATAAAAACAACGCTAGCATGATCGAGCGTAAATTAAAAAAATTGATAAAATATATATTTTGATATTGTTATATTCTGCAAAAAAAAAAATTAAATAAAATTAATATAAAGAGAAAAAAAACTAAGTTAAAACAAATTAAATTAAATTACATCAAGATGCAACACCACAAATTGGAAGAGGAGTTCGCCCGAAAATAGTTTAAGCGGTAACATATATTAACAAATTAAAATAAACTGAATAAAAACTAAACACAATTAAAGGAAACAAAATTAAATTAAATAAAACAAAACTAAATTAAACCAAATTAAATTGAATTAAATTAAATTAAACTTAATAATTAAAATTAAGTTATGCATATATTCAGTGATTAAACAACATTAACATAATCGAGATTAAATTACATTATATTAAATAAAATAAAATAAAATAACAAAAGCAAACGAAAAAAATTAAATCAATTAAAATAACATGAAAAAAAATTAATCTATTTTAAATTATATTATGCTAATTTAAACTGTACTAATTAATTTGAATTAACTTAAGAAGAAATAAAAAATATTTTAAATTGAGAAAAAAAAAATAAAATGAAAAAATTAAATAAAGTAAATTAAAACAAACAACTAAAATGAAAGGAATATAAAGAAAACTAAAAAAATCAGGCAGATAAAAATAAATATAAACTAAATAAAAAAGCTAATAATATAAATCAAAATAAATTAAAAGAAAAAATAAAATAATAAATATAAAATAGAAACAACTAGAATGAATTAAAAAAAATTAAATTAAATTAAGTAAGAAACATAAATAAAACAAAATAGCATAAAATAAAATTAATAAAATTGAATTAGATAAAATAAATTAAATCAAACAAAAATAAAGTTATCTAAGGTAAAGTAAAATAAAACAAAATAGAAAGTAAAACAACTTAAGATAAAATGAATATAAAAAAATAAAAAAAATAATGGAGATAAAAATTAACATAAATTAAATAAAACTAAAAAATTATAATATATAACAAAATAAAATAATAGAAAAGAAAATTAAAATAAAATAAAGTTAAATTGACAAATATAAAATAAAATAAACGAGAAAAAAATAAAATAAACTTATATAAAACTATATTCATTTAAAAAAGAAACTTAAGTTAATAAAACAAAATGATATCAAATAAACTAAAATAAAAAAATAAAACAAAACAAATAAAAATAAAATAAAAAAATATAAAAAAATAAATGACTTTAAATAAATTAAAATTAAATTACGCTTAACAAAAAAAAATTAAATTAAATAAAGTAAATGAAAAGTAGAAAATAGAGTACATAAAATTAAAATGAAATAAAATAAAAAAATTAAAATTAATCAAAGAAATTAATTCAATCGAAATTAAGATAACTTTTATGAAATAGAATAAAATAAGATATAATAATTTGAACGAATAAACAAAATATAGGAAATAACCTTATTTAAAATGAAGAAGTTAAAGCAAAGTAAATTGCACGAAAATAATGGGGAATTAAACGAAATAAAAGGCTAAATAATTTTGAACAAAATAAAAAAACTTAATAAAATGGAATCAAATGCTTGAAATTATTTTAAATCCATTTTATTGATTAATAAAATATATATAATTTAAAAAATTTTAAAGTAAGTTTTTAGGTACACATTTATCTTATGTTGGATGCGAAAATATGAACAATTTATTAAATCATTTCATCTTGATTGCTGGCTTACCAATGGCACTGCAAATATATGCAAGGAGTACACTGATGACTAGCAATTTTCGGAACGATTACAATTCGTGTCTTTAAATATAAAAGCACATAGATATGTAAGGCCGCAGTCACACCTAACTTTGAATTCAACGTGTGAAATTTCACTTTCAAAACCAAAGCTAATAAAGAAAGGAAAGCAAATATCATATCTCCCTTCGCTTATTAGCAACTCACATTTTCGCTTGTAATGCAAAACCGAAAGCGCTACATTTGCAATGAAAACCGATTTGAACTGCTGCAGATGAAAGTAAAAGGAGAGACGGAAGTTTTGTATTGATCAGACAGTGTTGATATGTAGGATGTGTGAGTGAAAAGTAATTACCTGCATACCTTTTACTCGTAAATGTTTATGAAGTGACTTAAAAAACGGCATCAATTTGCCCACAATTTTTATTGGATTAGGTTTTTTTTATAAAATAAAAACAACTGTTACACTATTATTATATAGAAAAATAATGAAAATTCTACGAATTTATTTTCAAAAAAACGTTTTGACAATATAATTATACATAAGTTTCAAAAACTTAATTTATTGAAAAATGTTTTTATAAAAGATAATATTTTTTCTCTAATCTCGTAATTTTTTTTGAATTTTTTTAATAAATATTTAGGAATATTTTTTTATACTTAACAAAATGTTAATATTTAAAGATATAAAATATTTCATACCTTAGAGTCCAGGAAGGCATTAAATTCTTCAAAAGAGAGTTTTAGTTATTTATTTCCCTTATTATTTTTTCATTTATTTGTTTAATGTTCTACATATAATTATATTTTTCTTCTTCTCTCTTATAATAAATAAATAACAAATACAAATTTATATATACATATCTGTTTTCGTCTTTCCCTATTTACCCAACTAACTCTTTTTTACGAAATTGTTTTATTTTGTTTCTGTTTTCCGTTTTGCATTTTTATGCTTTATTTTAATTTATTTTTCTTTCGTTTTTTTTTTTTTTTTTTTTTTTTTTTTTTTTTTTTTTTTTTTTTTTTTTTTTTTTGGCAAATTGGCAGTCACATGATGAGCCATTGCAACAATACTTAAACTACAATGAAAAATAAAAATTAAAATTAAAAGAAAACAAAAACAATGTAAGTAAAGTGTGTCATGTTGTCTAGCTGCTTCGCTGACTGGTATACAGCTGTAAACACAAATACATGCAAGCTGAAAATGCTTAAAAGAAAAGTGAAAAACTACTGGTTAGTGCATACAAAATAACACAAAAAGCGGGAGAAGAAGCAACGCGAAAGCGAAAAAAACGTTAGCTAAGTGTTAACACCCACAAGCAGATGGGCTCAAGTGCCTAAGTATGTGTGCAGTAATTTAGTTGCATGAGGCCTAGTGGCATGAGCAACAGGAAATGGTTAACAAAAACCGCCTGCTGCCGCTTATGTTGTAATATTCCCATTTTTTTTTTTTGCTAAAATTTTACTCACATGACTTCGGTGGTAAAAAACACAAACAAACAAACACACAAACACTTTATTATGTACTTTTTTTAATGGTTTTTGCAATAGTATTTTGATGAGTTTTTTAAATTACTTGCAGTATTTTTATTGTTTGTACTGTATACACATTTTGGCATTTGATTGATGTGTTATTTTGTAATGTCACGTGGTGTTATTAACTTAACTAAAAACATGAGAAGATATTGTTTAAAACTTTAATTTGGGTCATTAGTGGGAAGAACTTAAGCAATGAATTTAAAATTTACTAATTTAAATTAAAGGAAAAAAACATTGAAATATATTAATTTACATTAACTTAAATAATATTATATGAAATAAAGTTAAATTAAATAAAACAAAATAAGCTAAAAATAATAAAGCTAAATTGAGTTAATTAAAATAATTTGTAAACCTTACTATTGCTAAATTAAATTAAAATAAGTTAAATTCAAAAAAGTTAAACCTATTTATTTTAGGTTAAATTCAATATGTAAACGAAACCAAAAATTATTTAAAAAATTTTAAGTATATTTAATTATATTTTTATTTAAAAAATTAAATTAAAATACCAAAAAAAACTATATTTAAATTCCAAGTTACAAATAAGTATTAATAAAGTTGTCTACCACTCTACCAAGCTATCATACACTTAAACACCATAAGCTACAATATAAACCCCTTTGGCGCAGACAATCAGAAGCCAAATTTCGACAACGCCGCAGTACACCAAAATTTATGGGCTTTGTGCCAGTACCATTTAACTGTTACACACAACGCCTCCACCCCTTTTTTAAGTGAGCAAATAAATATAAATAGCTCAGTGTTACAGAAATAGTTGCCAATGTTTGGGTGATGTGTAGGCGGGCTTGGTAGCTATAAGAGCTTTTAAGCATGCGAGTATGTCAATCAACTGTTTCATTGTGGCACGTATTGTATCATGAAAATCATATTGCGCCTTTACCAACAACAATAAGTTACTCAATTTTTTTTGTAATTTATTTTACTTTATTTTGTTTTTTTTCAGTTGATTTTTATTTTATTTAGTTTTTATTTATTTTACTACAATTCATATATTTTTTAATTTATATTATGTTTTTATTTACTTTTTTTTTATATTTTTTTTTTATTTGATCTATTGATTTTTTTTAATTTTTTTATTGTATTTTTTATTTTTTTTTTGTTTTACTAATTTTTGTTGTATTTAAATATGATTTTACATATTTTACAAAAAGTGAATTTTTCTTCCCTCTTTACAGTTGTCTCTTTGTGGCCACCACTAGCGCTTTGCGCACCCCCGATGATTTGCAAGCCAACGCTGAGTCTGCCCTCCGCCTGGAACGCGCCCGTTCGTTGCGTGTGTGCAACCAAACAGACACTGAAATCTGCCCACCGAGCAAATATCGCCAACCAACCGGCGAGTGCAATAATGTTTCGCATCGCAAGTGGGGCGCACGTGGCGATGTCTTGCTGCGTCTCCTCACACCAGACTATGCCGATGGCATTAGTCAGCCGCGCACTTCGCATGGCACACATGCGCTACCCGATACCGATGCAGTTATTGAGCAGCTACAAAATCATGTCGACGCCGAACTGCGACATCCACACATTACCGCTATGCTACCCGCCTGGGGACAATTGCTGGCCAATGACTTGTATGAAGTGAGTCAGTTGTCCACGAGTCCAAAGTGTTGTAATGAAAATGCCAATGTGAAAGATCCAGAGGAGCTGCAGCATTGTTATGTGCATCGCGGCGCCGATTGCAAGGAGTACAAACGCTCTGCGCCCGGCTACGATGCAGAGGTGTGCAACAGACGTAAGTGCAGGATAATTTCCATCTGACTTCCACTATAATGACATCAATTTTTTCTTTATAGGTCAACGGGAACAAATGAATGTTGCTTCGTCATACATCGACGGCTCTGGCTTGTATGGCGCCACTGTCAGGGATATGCAGGACTTGCGTACATACATTAGTGGTGGTGTTAAGGTTGAATCATGCAAATACTGTCAGTTGAGCAGCGCTTCTGGTGCTCTGCATCGTGCCTTGCTGCAGGAACACAACAATATTGGCGAGCAACTGGCTCATTTGAATCCTGAATGGTCTGAGGAGGATGTGTTTTTTGAGGCTCGTCGCATTGTTACAGCACAAATACAACATATCACCTACAGCGAATTCCTACCCATGGTGTTGGGTCAAGAGACAACAGCCAAAGATGGTTTAAAGTGAGCTTTCTTGAAAATATAGTTCGCTAAGAATTGTCACTGACTTATATTTCTCCCCAAACGTTTTAGACTCACTGCCGAGAAGCACTCATCGAACTATTCAAGCACCAACCGCGCTGGTGTCTACAATGAAGTCGCTAATGGCGCGTTCCCCTCATTCCTCACCATGTATCCACCCGAGATGGTAAACTTTTGTCGAATTTATTTCTCTGTAGTTCGACTAACCCCATCTCTTCTTAACAGATCTCGCGCTCTATGTCTGCATCGCAATTGCTATCGCTTGCCGCTTTGCAGAAGTCGCTCATTCCGGCTGTAAAAAGTGTTGACGGTTGGACCGAATTGGCTTTGGCTATACACCGCGGTCGCGATCATGGCATACCCTCCTACCACCACGCTCTGGATATGTGCCAGAATCAGTACTCCGGCTCAGACTCTGCCAATTTCACCTTTGAAACTTTGTCTAAGGTCTCAAACATACCTGAGGAACACATTACCAGCTTGAGAGATATATACCAGTAAGCCGGAGTGACACAAAACTAGCTCCTGATATATTTATTATAAACCTTAACTTTTCCACAGGAGCGCAGATGATATTGATTTGTTGGTAGGCGCTTTACTTGAAGATCCTGCAGTTGGCGCCTTATTCGGCCCCACAATCACCTGCTTGTTAACACGTCAGTTCGAGTTACTCAAGAAGTCTGATCGCTTCTGGTATGAAAATGATATTCCACCATCCTCATTTACTTTGGAACAACTGCAGAGCATCCGTCGCACTACACTAGCTGGTCTCCTTTGTACGTCCAACCAGGTGGAGAAGGTTCAGTCGAAAGCTTTCATACGCGAGGATAACTTCCTGTGAGTCCCTTGATTTAATACTTATTTCCAAATCGCCTTTATTAATCCATTCATACTCAATTTCCCTCAGGAACTCCGTACTGGTGTGTGATCAAATCCCTACTTTGGACCTACGTCCTTGGCAATCCAACCCTAAGGAAGACGAGTTGCATGAACATGTAGAGATGGAACCCGAAGTAAAGGAGGCTATCAGTGAAATTAACATTGAGCTATTGGAAGCTGCTGTGGAACGCGCCAAGGTTGAGCTCGAAGAACGCAAACGTTTCGAATATGAGTCCTGGTTGTCACGTAAGTTTCCCACTCTAAGAGCGCTATTTTTATATTCCACTCACCTTCCTTCTTCTTCCTCCTTACTTTCAGAGGGTGGCATCAGCGCCAAATCAGGCGACGGTGTTGCCGCCTCTTTCAGCAAAGCCAACCGCAATGCGCTTGCACTCGCCAACTCATCACTCATCTTCGAATTGACCTCCAACGAAATCTTGAACACCTTGAACTCTATTAATCGTCGCAAACGTCAAACTTTTGACTCCAACTTTAATCGCAATGAACTTTCGGAGACTCTGCAGACTATTGATATCAATGCCATACTTGGCGGCTCAACTCAGCAAGTAAATACCGAATGTGATGATCCACCAATTGCTTGTGATACTTCGACACCCTTCCGTTCTTTGACCGGTTATTGTAACAACTTACGCAACCCGAACTGGGGCAAGTCGTTGACCACGTTCTCACGACTCCTTCCTTCACAATACGATGATGGTATCTCGAAGGTCCGTCTCGTTTCAGTCAACGGCAGTCCTCTACCCAATCCACGTACTATTTCCACCGTAATTCATCCGGATATTTCGAACTTGCACACACGCTACTCACTCATGGTAATGCAATTCGCACAATTCCTGGATCACGATCTTACATTGACACCAATACACAAAGGTTTCCACGAGTCCATACCCAGCTGTCGTCGCTGCAACTCACCGCAAACTGTACATCCCGAATGTAACCCCTTCCCTGTGCCACCCGGTGACTATTTCTTCCCCGAAGTGAATGTGACAAGCGGCGAACGTTTCTGTTTCCCCTCCATGAGATCGCTGCCCGGTCAATTGGCATTGGGTCCACGTGAACAGATAAATCAAAATACTCACTTTTTAGACGCCTCTATGGTTTATGGTGAGAATCATTGTGTGGTAAATAAATTGCGCGGTTTTGGCGGTCGCTTGAACTCCACCATACGCTCGTTCGGCAAAGAGCTACTGCCACAGTCCAACTCTCATCCCGAATGTAAGTCTCGAAACAATCTCTGCTTCATTGCTGGTGATGAACGAGCCTCCGAGCAGCCAGGTCTCACTGCCATCCACACCATTTTCATGCGTGAGCACAATCGTATTGTCGAAGGTCTCCGTGGTGTGAATCCACACTGGAATAGCGATCAATTGTTTCTTCATTCGCGCCGCATACTCACCGCCGAATGGCAGCATATGGTATTCAATGAATTCCTGCCACGTGTGCTGAGTTGGAACGCTGTTAACTTGTATGGTTTGAAGCTGTTGCCTCAAGGTTACTACAAGGACTACAATCCCTCATGCAGTCCGATAATTTTCAATGAATTCGCTGCCGCTGCTTTCCGTATTGGACACTCCCTGCTGCGTCCACACATTCCACGCTTGAGTGTGAACCATCAACCCGTCGATCCACCTCTACTATTGCGTGATGGTTTCTTCCGAATGGATGCTATTCTTCAACCTGGTATCGTTGATGAGATCACGCGTGGTCTGGTGGCAACTCCTATGGAGACTCTGGATCAGTTCATCACTGGAGAGGTGACCAACCATTTGTTTGAGGATCGTAAAATTCCCTTCTCCGGCATCGATCTCATTGCGCTGAACATCCAAAGAGGTGAGCAACTAACAGCATTCCCTCTTTCTTCTCTCTCTATCTCTCCTCCTCGATAATATAAATTTCATTCTTCTCATCTTAGCTCGCGATCACGGTATACCCAGTTACAATAACTATCGCGCTCTCTGCAATCTGAAACGTGCCACTACCTGGAGTGATCTGAGTCGAGAAATGCCAAATGAGGTCATCAATCGTTTTAAGAAAATTTATGCCTCTGTCGATGATATCGATCTCTTCCCCGGCGCGATGACTGAACGACCACTGCAAGGCGGTTTGGTTGGTCCCACTTTGGCTTGTATTATTGGTATCCAATTCCGTCAGTTGCGTAAATGCGATCGTTTTTGGTAAGTGTAATAGAGTTATCTTATATCAAATGGAGATTAAACGAATTTCTTTATCCGTTCCGTACAGGTATGAGAACGCTAATCCCGAAGTACGCTTCACCGAAGCTCAGCTCGCTGAAATACGCAAGGTCACTTTGGCCAAAGTTATTTGTGAGAATTTGGAAATTCCCGGTGACATTCAACGTGCTGCCCTCGACTTACCCAGCAACTTCCTGTGAGTAAAAAACTCTTTATAAAATTCAAATTCAAATTCAAAATCAAATTCAAATTCAAATTCAAATTCAAATTCAAATCCAAACGCAAATTCAAATTCAAACTCAAATTCTGATTCAAATTCAAAATCAAATTCAAACACAAATTCAAACTCAAATTCAAAATCAAATTCAAAATCAAATTCAAATTCAAATTCAAATTCAAATCCAAACACAAATTCAAATTCAAATTCTGATTCAAATTCAAAATCAAATTCAAATTCAAATTAAAAATCAAAATCAAATTCAAATTCAAATTCAAATTCAAATTCAAATTCAAATTCAAATTCAAATTCAAATTCAAATTCAAATTCAAATTCAAATTCAAAATCAAATTCAAACTCAAATTCAAATTCAAATTCAAATTTAAATACAAATTCAAATCCAAATTCAAATTCAAATAAAAATTTAAATCCAAACTCAATTCCAAATTCAAATCCAAATTCAAATTCAAATTGGATCATGAAATAAAATAAAATAAAAAGTAAAAAATAATAAATAAAAATGTAATAAAAAAATAAAAAATGTAAATAAATTGACTATAAAATAGTAAATAGAAATATCTAAATATATTTTAAGTAAAACTAATTTTACAAATGCTTACCCTCTGGTATATAACATGTTTCCAATTCCTTTTATCTCTCTTTCTCATACTCGTTCCTCCAGCAACCCACGTGTACCCTGCTCCTCAATGCCCCAGGTCGATTTGAGTCAGTGGCGTGAAAACGTACAAGGTTGCCAGATTGGAAATAGACATGTGCGTGTTGGCGAATCTGCTTTCCCCTCACCATGCACCAGCTGTGTGTGCTCAGCCGAAGGCGTAAGTTTTGTGCAAGCAGAAAAATATCATTAAGGAAAAAATAATAATAATAACAATAAATTATCCTTTCCGACTCACTTACAGCCACAATGCGCCTCACTGCGCATCACCGATTGCGGTCAACTCATACGCCAGTGGCCCAAAGAAGCCATTCTCCGTGACGAAGTGTGCAATTCACAGTGTGGCATCTACTTGAATGGCAATGGTAACTTTGCGCAAGCGCGTCAAGCCTCCGTACAAGCGCCCGCACGTGTACAACGTTCGCGTCCAGAGAATATTTTCAAATTCCCCGACTTAACGCCGTTCATTGCGTCGTTGTAAGCCGAGGGAAAACTGCATTAAAAAAATGGAAAGAAAAATCGCTTGGAATTTTATTGAGAACGAGTGTGAGAAAAAAACTAAAAAACTAAAATTATTTTGATCGAAGCTATTTAGTGTTTAATAAGTTAACAAAAAAAAATAACACAACAGCTGCTTGAGAAAAGTGAGAATGAAGAAAAAATTAAGAAATTCTATAACTGCTATGGCTGGTGTTACATGATTGTTGCCCGCTGCCAATAACTAGATATTACATTAAAACTAATTATTTGTCAATAATCTCAAAGGCAACTTTACTATCGCTCAACACACATACATACATATTTACTTAAATGAATTTAACATATTCACGCTCTTTATGCAATCCAACAGTGCGAGGGTTGTAGTAAATGGCTTTGAAATGACTTTATATATATGTATGTGAAATTCATAATAAAAAATAAAAAGAAATCAAAAATGGCAGTAAGAAACCTCAAAGACTTAAGTACTTCTAGCATATAATGAAATAATGCATAAGTATGTTAATAAACGACAATATTATGTTTATCCTAACACCACACAACTATCACCTTCTATATAAATAAAAAATGTCCATGTCTTCCATGTACCCAATTTCCCTTAAAGTGCTGAAGAGCGCAACCTGTCAATGCCTTTCAACCTTCTTTTCAACTGCCTAAAAGTGTTTTAACTCGCTACTAAGCAAAAGAAAAAAAAGAAAAATAAGATATAATCACCGCGACTTTTCTACTTAATTTTAGCATTCATTTACCTATATTATCCCCCGCTCGCTCTGAGACTTGTTTTACTACTATTTATATGATATTAATTTTCTACTACATTTTTCCACTTTATATTCTCTACCTAACCTAACTATTTGTTCCATATCTTTTTTTATATATTTCTTATGCACTGCACACAACTTTTTTGTTTAGTTGCACAATATTTATTTGCCTGTGTAATTTATCGTACGACTTAAACTTTTTAAACCTTTTTTGTAATTATGTAATGAATTTTTTCTTTAACAAATCGTTTGAAAAAGTGAAAAATTTAATAAAAATATGTAAAATTAAGGTTACGATTTTTTAAAATACATTTTATAACGGAAAATATGTATATTAAATAAACTACATTTATACAACATACATATATAAATTTATATAAAATTAATTTTAATTGCATATTTTTACCCAGTAAATAAATGCCACAAAATACAAATGAAAATGAGAAAAATATTAAAAAAATATTTGTTTTTATTTTTACTAGTTTTCTAAATAACATTTTTTTTAATTATCTTTTATATATATTTTTTTTTTCTCATAAACTTAATTAGTTTGATATGCATAAGGAAGGTTGCCAACAGCTAATAAGATTTTCGTCGGAAAAACTTGCTTGCCTAAAAAATGTTCATCATCATGAAACTTTTTCTTCTTTTTTTTCTTCAGCTTCTTCGATGGCACAAGCGCGCCATTCGTAGCCGCTTCTCGCTGTTTGACTTCGGTTGGATACACCAAAAGAAAGCGGGTCGCTTTCCATCTGATCCTTCCAACGGAGGGAACGTAGTCTTCCAGCTCTGTTTCGCTTTCTATTTCTGTATTCGCTGAAATTTAGCAATATCGCCGTACACGTATATTTCAAACAGCTCATCATTCCAACGTTGGCGATATTCGTCCACGCTTCTGCACTTTATGGCAGGGAGGGAATGATAAGTGAATTGCAGAGTTTGGTTTTGATTCGTCGAGAGAAGACTTTACGTTTCCAATGCTTACTCAGGCCAAAGTAGCATCTGTTGGAATGAGGGATTCCGCGTTGGATTTTCAGGCTGACATTGTTGTTGGTGCTAATGCTAATTCCAAGATAGACGATGTTACTCTATGACTTCAAACTTATGATTAACTAAAACGTCGGAGCCGAGTGACGAATGCGATGACGGTTTGTTCGTTTGATGACAGAAGATATTTCGTCTTGCTCTCGTTCACTACCACACCCATATCCCTCGCTTACTTATCCAGTCTAGAGAAATCAGAACTCACTATTCGGTTATTGAGGACAATAAAGTCAAAATCAACGGCATTAGCAATCAGCTGTGGACTCTCATAGATGATTGTACCATCTCTATTCAGCTGTGTAGCTCGCATTATGTACTCCAGCAAAGAAATTAAAAAAACGCATGATAAGTAATCACTTCGTCTAATTCCTTGTTCGGTACCGAACAGCGTAGAGGCATATCCTTGCTGTGCTGACGAGGGCAGCTAACTTTTAAAACGATGAGAACGTGATGTTTTTTCGATTATTCTCTCACGGGTACTTTCCAAAATTCTCCGCATGGGGATTATCCTACTGATGGCTGGTTTAAGTTTTTCATACATTACATGGTAGTTACTCTAGATCATGGCGTCCCTTCTCTATAGTCATTTGAATAGCTTTGCCTGTAAGCCATCAATTTCAGCCTGTTTGTTGTCTTTGGAACGCGCTATCGCTATTTCGGTTTTCAGGAACAACATTTTTGGGTGTTGCACTTTCACTGCCATTCAGTAGGCTGGATCACCTCTGGCATCCGTTACTAGATCACCTCTTTGTGTCCCACAATTTTTTGCTCTGGTCGTGAAACCTTTTGTAAGCCGCCGTAGCTTTTCGTAGAATTTTGAAGTATTGTCTTTGTGGGGCAACTGCTCAAGTCCTTCATACCGACGCATTTCGGCCTCTTTCCTGTTTTTGTTCGTAAATTCGTTGTGCTTTCCTCTGCCGCCCTCGGTATGTATCTCATGCCGCAACTATTGTGGTCGGCATTTCTCATTATTACTAGTTGAAAGTCAATAATTTCCATAGCGGATCAGCATCCAGGTCTGAAAGGGCACAACCTTTTGTAAAATCATCCGCTACCTCGCTGCCTTCTCTGCATTTAAACCCTAATACCTAGTAAAGGTTGACTTTCCTTTTCTCCGTCAGCATTCTCACTCTATTTCCACTACCGACTTAGTGCCATGGAAATGTGTAACCACTTTTAAAGAGTATATTTCGAAGTAGAAGATTAAACAATGCTTTGCCAACGTGAGTTAGAAGGTCACTCTTCGGTTGGGTCGCTTCTTCGATTCGCATTTTAGAACCTTTCTGAGAGATGTGTAAAAGCTCTGTCCATGAATTATCTAACTCTCACTCTATCGTACTTAACTGTCATAAATTTTTCGAAAGTCCGGCGTACGATTTTCTATTCGGCAAAGCCACAAATCTACGGCATTTCTAGTAACTAATAGACAAAAGGCCAGAAATCTTTACAACACCGTCTTAATCCACATTTCTGCATCGTATATACTCGTAAAGGTTATGAGTGCTAACAATGATGTGATGCAGCTATTGAAAGTCATGATGTCAATGTATCCATCCATCTACCATGTCTAAGGCCTCACTGATGAGGTCCACCTGAAAACATCGTATGTTATGTTTCCATGCTCCAAGTTCCTTTCATTCATGCTTACTTTCAACCGAATTCACCATCGCTCAACCGGTAAGCCCTGGAGCGCTGCAGTTTTATTAATTTTGAAAGCGACTACAAATCAAATATCGTCTCAACCAGGTGGTCGCATGCTTTTATTCTATCATCATCGGCTGCGAGCCTTTTTTTCTCCGTGTTTCACAATACAACTACCACTTTGCAGAATAGAGAAGTTTTTCCGAAATAAACTCAGCATACGCTACACACGATCAACTACGTGAAAAGACAACGGGTTTGAATCATGGAGTTGAAGAGTATTATTTCCTTCAGACCTCTACGTGTTAGCCTCTAGAGTTTTCTGTCTTCAAGTGCTTTTTGCTTCTTTCTTCAACTTTCTTTCCCACATAATCGTAACCCTGTTGTTCGTCAATTTTCACTGCTTTACTACAGTCTTTATCACACCATACAATCGAAGTTGAATAATGCTCTCAGAGAGCCGGATTACAAGTCGAGTAGAAAACCGTTTAGCTGCCTGTGTGATTACAGTTTTTCGGCGTCAAACCTTCCTTGTGTTGGTGGATGAGTGCTCTTTGCTGCACAGAGACGGGTAGAATTTTTCTTCAAAAAGATAATGATCCGTGTCGGTATGAGGTCACCGAATCGTACATAGTTCTAGACCACCGGTCAATTTGGTTTTGAGTTTTCCGATCTGGTGATAGCCAAGTATCTTTATAAAAACTGGAACCCGAAATCGATTAGCCTCATCCCTTTTGCTTATGCTTTGTAGTGGATTTTTTGACTGTTGTGAAAGATCATACCATGATCAATCAAATATCAGGTATATGCCCTTAATTCATGATCATTAAAGCATTTATACGGGTCGTCAGCACGAGGTGGTCTCTCGTTTAAGACTTATTTTGAGATTTTCTTTTTGAGGTAAATTCCCTATATGATAGGTTCCAAGACCCACGCCCACTTCTAAGTGCTTAAGTGGCCGAGCTCCTCCTTCAATTTATAGTTTTGCATCTTAATGTTGTTCCGAGTAATGGAGGGACACGCACATTATTCCAAGCCGGCTCCGAACGGCTGATGGTTTTTTATGGGGAGCTTTAATTTTCATGTCAGAGATATTCTGGGAAGGAATGGTCAATACTTGCTTAGGGCGACCGCAATTTTTGATTTATATAATTTTGGATGTTGGTTGAACCAGGACTCAAACTCTAGTCTTCCGCATGGCAGTACGCAATACTAACCAACGAGCTTTTGCGGCAGCTTATTAGTTAGAGGAAATTTGAAAATAGTTTTATGTAACAAGGGATTAGAAGTAATAACAGCGACATGGCTATCAAATAAGCGCAGTTAAAAAAGTTTGAAACTGAAAATATTTGCGAAGAAAGCTGCCATCTGTCCTAAAACTCAGGGTAAATAATTAGCAATACAAACCCATCTTTGAAAAAATGTTCATCATTTTCAAGAAATTCAAAAAAAAAATTAAGTAGGGTTGCCACCGCCAAAAAACTGGGAAAATAAATTAAATACTGATAAGTAATTTGTGTAAGAAAAGACTCGAATTTAAAGTGGTAGGTTTTTCAATAAAATTGTTTATTTTTTTTATTTAATTTTTAGTTATTTTTTTCCAACTTTTCTTCACTATTATTTTGGTGAATATACTAAATAATTTATTTCATAAACTTACACATTTTTACATCATTGCTATTCCGATAAATGGACAAATTCTCTCAGTTTACACAAACTAATATTTGAACTAAGGAAACACAAGCATATTTGCAGACAAATAGATTTAAAAAAAAAACATTACTACATACAATTAGCTTTATAGGTGTTTATGTATATACAAATCTTAGGTTTTTAAGTTCGAAAGGATGTGCTTAGGTAATTGCACTACAAGCATACATATGCATACATATATAAATATTTATTTACATTAAAATATTTTTAAGTAATATTTTATGCATTTGTATGCATATATTTGTGCAAGAGAATTTCTATTATGATTTTTTTTATTATTTTATTTTATTTTTCTTTTTTTGTTTCGCCCAAAGTTCTAAGACTCTTTTATAGATAAATATTTTCTTATACAAAAATAGTATGAGCAACCATATTTTTTATTTTTTTACATTTAATTGCAGTTACAGAGCGAAAGTTAAACGAATTTCCCAAATAATAAATTATTATTTTAGTTTTATTTGATTAAATAATTTTTATTTATGATTTTTTTTATTTCTAGCACATTTTTTAGAAATTTTTTTTTTTTTAATTTTATCAACTTTATTAAACCATTCCAACATTTCAAATTCTCGTTTCGCTTCTCTTGAAATTATGTTTTTTTTTCATACAAATTTACAGCTATTAATTTAATTAATTCTCTGTGAGGCAAAGATCTATCAAGACATTCTCCATTTCTCGAAGCGATATTATACAATATATGGTAGGTTGTGGAAATAGTAGTTGTTGTACAACTATATACCTAATACAGTATATTGTTTTTGCTTTTGTATTGAATACATTTTTAACTTAAATTAATTATGCATATAAATATGCGTAGCATTTAAATTTTTTGTTTTATTTTATATAATTTTACATATAAATGTTTATTAAAGTAATTAAATTCGAAATTGTGAAAATATAAATGTATGTATATTTAGTAATGGTTTATCAATGATGACTACCCTAGATTAATATTCACAAAGTGTATATGCATGTGTAATTAAATGTTTAGAAAGTGCAACACGCAGCTGCGAAGGGGTATATGCGCATGCTTAATTTAATAAATTATTATTATTTTTTTTTTTTTGAAAATATATTTCAGTGCACATTTTCCATTACACTTTCTTCATTTTTTTCACCTAATTTTGTTTTCAATTTTTATTTGAAATTTTCAGGATATTTTTACTACTAAAGAAATTTACTACTAAACAGTAAAACTTTTAAAACTACTACATAAATATGCTATTCAATTACTTGTTTAGTGATTCTTAATTGAAGTACAGCTATCTTACAGTTATTTGCTTGACTTTATGTAGTTTTTATTTTCTATATGTATCCATCACGCATATTTATAATTTTTGGTAAACAAAACACACTTAAATTTAAGTATACAGAGCTAAAAATTGAACTAGCATAAGTAAATACTACATATTTTCAATCAACTTTATATGTGTACATACTGAAGAAATATGTTTTTCACTACATTTACTAATAGGCATATAAAAACAGGCAGACAAAACAAACACAAACAAACATATAAAATACTTTTACATACTAAGTTTACACACACAAGCAGGAGATAGCAAACTAAAAAAAAATCAAAGATAAACTTAATTAAATACATAAAGTTAATGCAAATACAGATTACTATTTCAGCTACTATACATACATAGCTAACAAACGCTGTGAGCTGTGGGAATCTAACTACGCTGATTTACTTGCATTTTTATTATATCTAATTAATATTCAATTCACTTCTTTTGCTATGTTTAGATAAATTTAATTATTTTGTTTTATTTTAATTTATTTTACTTTACTTTATTTTATTTTATTTTATTTTATTTTATTTTATTTTATTTTATTTTATTTTATTTTATTTTATTTTATTTTATTTTATTTTATTTTATTTTATTTTATTTTATTTTATTTTATTTTATTTTATTTTATTTTATTTGATTTTATTTTATTTCATTTAATTTAACTTTATTTTATTTATATTTTTTATCTTATTTTATTCTATTTCTTTAATTGCATTTTATTTCTTTTATTTTGTTTTAATTCACTTTTTTTCGCTTTTTATCTATTTTTTATGGTATTTTATTTTACTTTATTTTAATTTAGTTAATTGTATTTTATTTTTAATTTGTTTTTTCTTCTTTTTTTTTTGTATTTCATTATGGTTTTTTTTTTTTGAGAAATTTGTTTTTCTACAAAATTTTTACCTCAAAAAGGTCTTTGCATTTTATGTTTTAATGTTTTATGCTCTTAACAGCTACTTTTCGTGTAACAAAAAGTCCATAAAAGTCGGCAAGAAGTACTCTTTCGCTAGCAAAACTCACACTCTTCCTATGTATGTAAGCACTTTTTTATATTCTCCACATACGTACGTATGTAGCCATACTAAATACCACATAAATACCGCCTACACTTAACCTACTCCCCTCTTCATTTATCACAAGAGTTTGTCGCCGTCGCTGATGCCGACGCCGTCATCGCGGTTACCACCGTAGCCGCTGCCGTCGCAATCGGCGACACCACCACCGTCGGTACATCGCTGGCAGCAAAATAAGTGACATGTCCGTTGGGTGTGAAGGCAATGCCATTCGGAGTGCCTGAGCTTGCGTTTGAATGGAGCAGCGCTTCACCGGCGCTGCCATTGCCTCCGCTAGCGAGATATTGCAAACTATCAATGTTACCCAGTTTACCAACGATTTTCGGTATGCGATCACTCTCAGCGCCACTCGATGTATTGCCACCGGTGCCATTGCCGCTAAAGGGCGCATGCTGATTGCTGTGATGGTGATGATGATGATGATGATGGTGGTATTGGTGGTGGTGTTGATGTGCATGACGGTGTTGCATGTGACTATTAGTTTTATTGCTAGTATGTTTTTGTAGTTGTTGTTGTTGCGTGTTATTCGTCGTCACACCGCAACTGCTCATTGAAGGCGCGCTTCGGCTGTAGTAGCCACATGTGCCGCCACCGCCTCCATTTTGTGCGCTCAGTTGCTGCTGCAGCTCTTTGGTGCCCTTCAGGGAGGACGCTTTGCGCATATTACCGCCGCAGCGAACATATTCACAGCTGCGGCAGCAATTGCGCGTCGATTTCAGCGTACGTTGATTAAGATTATTCAAATTGGCTGCGATCAGTTTGGCCTGCGTCGTCGTCGCAGACGTCTTGGCCGGTGACGTGGGTAGACTGTCATCTTCGCCGGTTGGTGGCGGTGTACTCAGACGACTTGAGCCGGATGAAAAGCAACCGTTGGAATGACGCGTAACCTCCACGTCCGAATCATCATCATCTGCTTCGATAGCCGCCTCTTCCTCCTCGGCGCACAAGTGCTCATTCTCCTCGTCGTCATCGCCATCATCATTACCATTACCTTCACCATTGTTGTTGTTTGGTATACAATTGTCCTTTGAGTTTTTGCCATCACTCTGTTCGTCGATTTCACACTCTGCGCCGGTTGATATGCCATCGTCGGCATTGCTGTCAAAATTTGTTGTATTCGTGGCAACGATCTCATCCGTCATATCGCTTCGGCCATCCGAAATGCAACCGTTTTGCTGTTTTGTCGTTGTTTCTGTGCAACCGTTAGCATTGTTGTTGTTGGCAGCAGCGGTTTTCTCTTTATCTTGTACTTGTTGCGCCAGCTCAATCCAATGCTCGCGATTATCGCGCACTCCTTCGACCAGCGGCTCCAATTTGTCGGAAAGATTGGCAAAAGCCTGGCGGTGGGAGAGGAGAGAAACGAAGATTTTAGAATTACTGTAAGAAATACACAAAGGAATTCAATGGCACTCACTTCATAAATTGGCAAGCAAATTGATTCGATGAAGTTAACTTGCATCATGGGCAACTCATCTTCCTTCTCGCGGTTCATGATGTCCTGAAAAGGGAGATATTTAACATTAATTAATTACTTGAAGTAAGTTTCAAGTAAATGAAGCGATCGGAGTGTCTCCTCAGCCAATTTATCGAAGAAATAGTCAACTCTATCCAAGACCTCAAAATAGTGAAAGTGGCAACCCTCTTCCCAGTAAACCTACTATATTGCTTCCTGCGCGCTGGTAGAAAAAGCGCTTAAGGTTACAACGAAATGCCTCTTAACTTGTTTTCAGTATCATTTGCTTGATGAGCCCATAAAGCGAGTAGTTCAAACTAAAAACCTATAAGGGAAAAGGCCAATGACTGCAGAGTAAAGTGAAAATATCGAACAATTTGAATCGAAGAACATCGTAAACATTTTTAGCTAGAGGTCACTATTTTCGTAAAGTGATTGCTTAATAAACGACATGACTTACCCGACCATTAGAAGTCTACGAACAGAGCTGAATGAAAAGTTCAATGACTTAGAAGGTTGGCAAAGGTATGCGATCCATATTCTACTCTAAGCAAATTTTGGCAGTAAAAATTGAAAAGATTCGAAACCTCACTGGGTGATTGAAAATCGATAATCACTCAGAGAGACCCTACATCCAAGTCGAGTGTTATACTTCAAGAATCTTTGCAGGCTCTATAATACTCACTCGGACGTAAAAGAAAAAGATCATGTTTTTCTACAATAGTTCAAAATTTCGTTCAAATCTTGTAAATTACGTTAAGGGTTTCCTGCGCAAATGAAAACCATATTGAAATTCAGCCGACGTTAGTTGGAGTAAAGAGATTCAGTCTTTGACAGTTTATGAACCTACCGCTCTCTTAGTTTCAGCAACTTAAACTAGAAATACACATATTGAAAAGTAAAGTCACTCTCCTCGAAACGAGCACAAACTCTACAAGTCGCTAATTATTGTCTTTCTTCTGCTACGAGCTCGCCAGTTCCATTCAGAGACTATAAGCATGACAAGCAATGATCTTGTTTAATCATTCGAGCACACTTTGAGATCGCAAAGAAAAGGCTGCAGAAACATGAAAATCCTTTACAAAGCAAATGGTGTGAGACTTATTAAGTTTTTACCTGTGGAAAAGATGCATAACTCCAGGCGGCTAGTAGGACCAGTTTGGGGAATAATTTTTTGACATCGCATGCTTTACATTTCGATCAGTTAGTGTCCTACAAAGGCAGACAATTCAGGGTATGTGTGAAAATAGTGGAGCACATAATCTGTGAGTGTCAAACGTTCCACACGATGATAATAATCTTGCCAAGCGAAAAAAAAAATTTTAGGACATGCAATCTGAAAGGATTGGATAAAGGACCAAAAGTCTACAAAGTTTTTGATAAATTCCTCATTTACAGGAATAAGGTATAGAAGTACCTGGCGTCATTTAGTGTCGCCATAGGGCGCCGATAAGCTAAACCCAGACAAATCTAGTACACTGTTATTAACTCTGCTGTAATCATACCTCTGAAGATACCCAAAATCACCTTAAAGCACTTACCAGAAGATATTTACGTTATTGTTAAGATAATTATGGTTCTTTTCCACCAAATACTTAAAGTCAGCCAGCCCATTCGCCCGTGAAGCTATAATTGCAGAAATAAATTTGGGTCCATCGGAAATTCTCGAGTTATATATGCCTTGAAGTGACAAAGTATCAAGCTACCCTGAGCTTTGTAGCTATACTAGCAGCGGCAGGCCTACTAGGAAAATCTCTAACAATTGTAGCTTGACGGCGTTAAGAGCTTTTTAACTATCTTATAATATAACGTAAGCACCTTGTTAGTAAGGGACCACACGACAAAGGCCTGCAGAAATAAAAAATTTTGCAGGATTTCAAAACTAATTATTTTTTAAAACTTTCTAAGAGCTTTTTAATAACCTTCGGTTTGAAAAAAGCTTAAAGCTCTTCTGCATACTTACAATTGGCATTATATTCAATTCCTGCTTCTCCATATCACCCTGTTCGAAGAACTCTGAGCTCACTAAATCGGCAACACGTTTCTCAATATCCCACGGCTTAGTAATAGCCGATAAATCACAGACAGTCATGCTCATTGCACGCAATAGAGCACGCGGTTCGTCAGCCTCCCAATAGCTGAGAGGTTGTTCTTGCACAGATTGCAGGAAAGGACCGCGTTTTCTGGAAAGCGAAAGAAATAGTATGAATTAGGTATTTTTTTTTTTTTTCAAAAATTTCCACAAAGGAATAAACCATTAAGTTTTAATAGCAATTAAAAACTAAAATTAAAAATTAGACCACAAAAAATATATTTTTTTCTCCCTTTAGTAAGTAGCAGCTAAGGTAGAATCACTACTCACCTAAAATACACCGCCAAGTCCGTCGATAATATGGCATCCTCCAACACACGAATCACCCGACAATAATCGTCTGATGACAAATTTGCCAAAATCTGATTGCCAGGACTATTTAAAATCATCAAACACTGATCGAAATGATGATGTTCCATAGTTGAAGTCGAATAGAGTTGAGCCAATGGTGATGAGGCTCTGTAATGTATAAAAAAAGTCTCTAAATTGAGAAGCTTCGATGAAACATTTGCACACTCAGAACTTACTTAATTTGGAAGGAGTTATTAGTCCCCCGATGATCCAAATCGTGACAGAGGCAACCAATAATCAATGCCAAACATTCAATCTCACCGAAAATCTTCCACCACTGCGTCGCCTGTCCGTTATGGGAAATCTTTGATTAATCAAAATCGAAAGCGAAAATAATATTGTAAAATATGGCAATTTCAACGCAAAGATAAAGACAAGAAAATTAGAGAGTATAAGCAAGGAAGAATTCAAGAAAGGGTTTGAAAAAATTAAACGCAAATGCAAAGCAAGAGAAAAATTTGGGTACAAAAAATTAACTTAAAACAAAAAAAAACATATTAAAATATATTTTAAAATAAAAACTTCAAAATCAAATAAAATTTTAGCCTCAACTCGAGTTAAGTGAAAGAAAGGAAGATTTTAGCATGACATTCAAGTTAAAAAATCAAAAATAAAATGCCACCAAACTACCAAATTTTTGCCAATTTCACATGGATTCATCATAAAAGTCGACTTCATGTACATACCGTCAGTATGGCAAACATCATTTGTGCCACATTAAAGGCGTGCCGCCAATTGTGATAAGTAACATTGCGATAATTTTTCTTCACGCTCAACAGCCAACGGCAGAGGACTTCGTAGTCAATGTGAAAGCGTTCAACAAAATCCAAATCGAGGAACATGCGTAGACAAGCCTAGAAAGGGAAAAACGCAAGGGATGTTAATGGAATTAATTATGAAAAGTTTGGTAAATGTTAAAGAAAATATTTTATTAATTACAAAATGATCTCACCTTCAGTGTGTCATCATCCTCAAAGTGTATGTCATCGAAACGAAAATCGTGCAAGCGGAAATGGGCTGCAGATGGCACGCGTAATCGCTGAAAGAGTAGAAAAATAAAATTAAAAATATTTATATTTTTTACATAGACTTGACCTTTTCGTTAGAAAAGATCCACAAATCTCAAAAAGTTGCCAACCCATTGACTTGAACTTTTTCCCAAAAGGGGTTCAAGGACTGACGTCTTCGAAAAGATCTCATTTTTGGCTCGATTTTCTTGAAATTTGGCAAATAGGTTGCTTTTATCTTAAATTAAGGGGGGAAGCTGGTCTAGAATTTTGAAAAAATCGAAAAAAAAACTGTTTGTCTTAAAAGGTTGGTTAGGGTCTTAGAAATAACATACCAGAAGACGCCAGCCAAAATTTCTAAATGCTCAAATTTTTCATTCGACAGCAGTGCCTCGCACGTATGCCTGGAGTGCCATTTAATTTAAAACGCGTTTTTCTCGAAATAACTCATGACTCGAACAAATCTGACTGTACATTCAAAATACTCCGACGTACGTCGGGTTTTTTTTTACATTACATGGTTTTTTATAATTTTTTTAATCAACAATTTTATATTGTTTTTTATAGTGAAAATTGTAACTTTTTGTTCAAACGCGCACCATTTTGCGAAAAAAAAACAACAAAATATCGAAAAAATCCTACGTACGTCTCTTACTGTTGTATTATAGAAACTAAAAAAAATTATTTTTTGATCCAGGACAAATATTAAGGAGTTTACTTCTTCTGCCATGGACCCATCAGAAAAAAATGCATCTTCGAAGAAATGCTGGACAGCGGCCATTTTCAAAATTAATTCACACAAAAAATTTTGTATTTGTACCATGAAACCTAAATTAATAAACTATTTTCACAGATTTTGGATTGATTCCTTTGTTGAGTCAAAATAAATTCATAAAATATGCCCATTTTTTGCGCTCTAGACCAGCTTCCCCCTTAACTACTCTTCTTTCCGGCACGTAGGCATAAATGGAATGCTTTTGTTTTCTTATAATGGACCAGAGACCTGGAATCAGGTTTGAATTGCTCGAAATATAAATAATATTCTCTATATGGGAGAGGGATCGTCGACAGATTGACAAAACTTGGTATGATTGGGATATATGCATACATCGGGTGCGGATATACAATAGAAACGAATGGTGCGTTTGCCTTACTGCGAGGCATTCATGTTGACGTCTTCGTGGAAGACTTTAAGCAGCGAAAAGTGATCTACAGACACAAGTTAGTAAAAATAAAAATGTAATAAAAAAACTTAATAAATATATTGATTAAGGTGAAGCCTGGTGATAGCTTTTTATAGTTCTTTGCAAAAGAAACTATAACGAAAATTGGACATAATACAGAAAGCCCCAATAATGTGCGTTATTATTATGTTTAAAAAATTTTAATTTTTAATCTCATTTCATATACTCGTAGTTTAAATTTTTATTTTATTTTTTATTTTTATCTTTTTGTTTTTTATTTTATTTAATTAATAATATATTTTAAATTTTCGATTCCAGCTATTTTGATTTTATTTATATATATTTTACTGAATTGCGTGTAATATTATATTTTGCTTTATATTACTTTAATTTATTTCATTTTTTTGTTAATTTTAAGTAATTTCTGTTTATTTCGTAGAGTTATTTAGTTTCGTATTTTTATATATTTTTTTTAGTTTTATTTTTCACTTTTGGTAATTTTTTCATTTTATTTTACTTTGTCTTAATACAATTTAAATAAATTTTAATTTAGTTTTATATTTATTTTTGGTTATTTCATCCTTTTTGTATTTTTTTAATTTTTTTATATTTTGATATTTTTTTTTTTGCATTTTTTTTTTTTTGTATTTGCAATCTGTAAAATCCAAGTTCAGTGATGTAATTAATTAAATAATATAATTTAATAAAATACTTTATGGTCGCAACTAAAACTCCTACGTGAACATGATCCTAAATTTATCAAAGATAATTATAGGCATTCACGAGCATACTCTTACACAGATAAATATGGATATTTCAGTGAAGTTCAATGTCAACATTTAATGCTGAACTCGAGAGACAGTGAGCCACAAGCCGCACAATATTTTAAGCAATAATGCCTAGAATTTGTGGTTTTCATAATGAGTAGACGCCAGCGTAATTTAAAATGAATGAAATTTTCATTTAAAAATAAATCCTCACGTACAACAATAAATATATATATATATATATACGTGTATGCACACCCATATATGTATGTATACATATTCTCATAAATATGCCTGCCCCAAGTGCAAGGTAGCTTATTTCATGTCTAAGAGCTTATTTTGTCTGCTTTTCCGCTTGGCAGCTCATAATTTCTCTACCACACTCACACACACGCATATACATTTTGTCATATACATATAACATTTCCTCCTTTGTTATTGGTCTATTTGTTACTTATGTTTATGTTTTTCAATTCCCAACAGACTTATGTTTCTTCTGTTCCCATCACAGACGTGCGCTCGTTTATTCTGACTTAGTGCGACATTAACTTGCCACAGAACAGCAAATATTCTACTTCCTTGCCACACAGTCACTAATATGTAATAGTATTTGCCACTGACACTCCACTGCTGAGTGACTTCGAGAAAAGTGCTACAGGGTGCGTGCCGGCGAGTTGCTTTGACACGGAAGTTAATCAATTATGCTTACGCTTAAATGGCTTCTACATTTCTGTGTTGCGCTTGTAACTACTTAATTTTTGTTAATTTCTGGTGGCAGGTGGTTACATACATACATACTTATGTTTATGTGCCGCATGGAGATAATTAAAATGATAATAATAATTCCTTTTGATTGCATGACCTTTTAAGTTAATTGCTTTTATGGCCAACCAAATTCTAATTGTGGGTTGCAAATATGCAAAATATACTCCCTTTTTAGTAACATTTAAACGGTAATTTTATTATGAAAGATAACATAGCACAAAATTGCCTTTTAACTTTAGATGGCTTCATTAGAGCTTTTTCTTGTATTTTTTTTCTTTTTTAGGTATACGGTTCACCTTCTAAGGCTTCGGAGTCAATTTTGAGAGTTTTTTTATTATTGATATTTTTTTCTTTGAAACCGTAATATATCGGTGATCAAATATCTATGGGTCGTCTCTGCGCGACTACATTTGCATTTCATTTAGGCTGTCATATATATCCAAGTTACCTTGAGATGGGTTGTTTTTCTTGTATGCAGTTCTTTGCTTTGTGTAGCTATGGAGCTAAGAAGCCAATTGTAAAAACAACGGTAAAGGGATTTTTACTTCATATAGTACGATTACTCCTGGAATATATTGTAGATATATAAAATAATTTGTCTGATATATCTTTGATGGGATCATGGTAGACTAAAAACGATCCTGATTTCTAAGTTGAGTCCGAGGAGATACTTATATCTGAATCTTTGGTTACCTCACTTTTATCACACAACTCTGTAATAGAGGGATCGCGGTAAAAAAAAAAATTATTGATTCGTGATGGTTCGATGGTTGGCCGAGCTTCACATACGATCTCTTGCGCCTTGGGTTATCATAATTAATCCATTTTTCGTCGCCAGTGATAATCATATGCAAACATGATTTCTTTTGGTGGCGTTGAAGCAACATTTCCAATATGCAGAATCGACGTTCGACGTCTCTTGGCTTTAATTCATAACGCACCCAATTTCCAAGCTTCTGGATGAATCTTAATGATTTTAATCGTTTGCAAACGGTTGCTTGATCAATTCCTAATACTTTTGCAAGTTCTTCTTGCGTCTGGCATGCGTTGAGCAATGTCTTCAATTCTTCTTCTTGAAATTTTTTGGCTGTCCGTCGTCTAAGTCGAAATTTGGCACGTTCATTCGGCTAAAACATGGTCACCATAAACTTCCATTACAATACGATGGCTTTCGGTAGCACTTTTCTTCATGTTAAAGTAATGAAGAAGAACACCCCGCAAAAACATTTTATCTGACGAAATAATACTAGCAGAGCCCTCTCTTAAAAAACCGCACGAATGAATGCCTACACCCAAAATTTTCATGGCAGAAATAAAATCGGAGCTGACATTCCGTCGCAAGGGGCGAATGCAATTCAAACCATTAATTTCCTATAGTTTTTGATGTTCATCTGAGCAACACTCATTCCCTGGCCTTCCGAGTGGCTTAAAACTATATGAAATGCGACCGTAATAATATTTGCTACCAGAACATTTACGGTGTGTCCAAAAAATAACCGAACAGCGCCATCTATTGAAAATTTGCAACATTAAAAAGATACATTGATCTTCTTTCAAACGCACCTAACATCATGTAAGTCGGATGACAGATGTAAAAACACTATTTGGAGAATTTTAACTGAAGATTTGGGGAAAAGAAAGTCTGTGCGCGATTTGTTCCACATGAATTAAATGACGACCAAAAAATTTCTCTCATCGACCATCCTTCGTATTCGCCTGATCTATCACCATGTGACTATTTTTTATTTCCAAAACTGAAAACCAAGATGAAGGGAGCATTTTATGATAATATCCCAGCCATTCAAGCAGCCGCAACCGAGGTACTGAAGAACATTTCTATAAATGACATAAAAAAATCTATGCATGCGCTGGTTGATCGTTCCAAACGTTGTGTTGAGTCAAATGAAACCTATTTTGTATAAATAATAACTTTCAAAGATAAGATAACGAGTATCTTTTTTTATATCCAAAACGTTCGATTATTTTTGGGACACACCGTGTATGCTCGTATTTTTGAAAACTTGTTTAGTGATGACATTTGCATGGTTTCGCTTTGACAGTTTTATTATTAAATATAAGTCCTTGTAATATCTTGATAAAATAGTCAAGTTACCAAAACAGTGAATAAATACTAGTATTTAGCTGGTATGCATGATGGATAGCGGAATATGAGCTATTTTAAGTGAAGTAAAGGTGTAATTGAATAGCTTTCTTCTTTTTCTAGTAAAAACTTTTACGTAGAGATTTTTTTCTATTTTTATTAAGTCCATGAGTATCCTTAAAAATGTCCACTATTTAAAGAATAGCATATGGGATTTTAAAGTTTTAAATTAATTATTTTTAATAAGACGGAACAAAAAATATTCTTAAAATCCTCGAATACGCTTATTTCAAAAAAAAAAATTTTTATACACATTACTAAATATTTTAAAATTCCAAGAAAGACGAAAGAATGCTTCACTAAGCAAAATCTAATATTTATCTCTGCCCTCAGAATTTAATTTCAAAACCATTAAATTTACTATCTCCGAAAACCACATGCAAATGTCAACAAACCGCAACAAGACGGGCACATGATGATTATAAATGCCAAAGGAATACAAGATATTTGAATACAAATTTGTAAATCCATTTACACATACATACTTACAAACCCATAAATAAACTTGTAGTTGCACTTGTACGTTTGTGCTATAATCAAATATGGTTATTGAGGTCAAATTGGAAATGTCTTCTACAGTGGCAACATGACAGTTACATTACTGCTTTGTGCAAGTCTTCCTCGTAAGCGATTGACAAACGGACTGAGTAGAGAGGAGAGGAGAAGCGAAACGAAGAGAATGCAACTGTGGTGATGCCAATGCAAGCATTACTGCGAGAAGATGCACGTACGAGAGTGCATATGTATGTGTACACATGTCAGTTGCAGTTAACATATGTTACACAACAATAAATTATAGCACAGAAGTTTGAAATTGTCAAAGATAAAATTAATTGGCTAACGCTTTTGGCAGTTTGATTAACCAGAAAGAGGAAGAAGAAGAGAAGCTGTTTCTTGGTTATCAGGTTGACAAATGTCAAAAGCAAATCATATGAAAGGACTAAGGTCATATAATAAATAATTATATAATAATTATTTTTACACATATTTTTCTCTATTCTTTATTTGCTCTACCTACCCTCAAACGATGGGCCTCATCAATAGTCGCCGATGCGTGATAGCTCAGCACCTCCAATGTGACACTCTGCTTGGCCATCGCCACAATCGCTTTCTCATACATGTGTGTATTATGTATGCCCATGCCACAGAAGATGGCAAAGGCTTCAACAAAATTCTCGTCGTTTTTGGTAAAGTTCTGTAGGCGAAGATAAAAAAAAAAAATTTTTTTAAATAAAAATATAAATTTCTATAATTCAATTTTGTTATTTTCTCGATTATTACTCACCAGATCATCAAATTTGTTTATCAGCTGTATGACGCCAATAATTTGGCCAAGCGAATTTTTAATTGCCATACATAAGATGGATTTGTGCTTGAAGTTGCCTTCGGCATCGACATTAGCATCGAAGCGATCATCTTCGTATGCATTTGGTATGTTTACAGTCTATGTGAAGAGAAAGGATTATTATTGAAATAAAATAAAATAGAACAAAATAAAATTATATTAAAATAAAAAAAATTAAATAAAGTAAAATAAAATATATTGATTTAATAAAAAATAAAATAATATAAAATAAAAAAAATAAAATAAAAAAATTAAATAAAAAAATAAAACAAANACAAAATGAAATGAAATAAATAAAATAAAATAATATAATATAAAATAAACTAAAATAGAACGATATAAATTGAAATAAAATAATTTTATAATAAAAAAGTAATAATAATAATATAATAAATGAGACAAGAAAGTAAAATTATTAAAATAATATTCAGTAAAATAGAATAAAATAAACTGACATAAAATAAAAAAAAATTTAATTTAAATTGAATTAAAAACAAATAAATGTTCCAGGAAAAGAAATAATTTATAACTTATAATTAAACAATTGTTTAGTTAAAAATTTTATAATTCAAATTATTTACTTCATACGGCATAATAGATTATTTAACTAAACAAATAAAATGTTTATCATATTTTCTTCAAGGCATTTACAAAGTCTTCTGTTTTTACTTTTGCTCCAACCTTTAGTTAATTATTACTGTTTTTTTTTTAAATAACTTAGAGAACTTTTTTTTTTAAAAACTTGTTAAAATTTACTTTAAAAAAAAATATATTAGAAAAGGGTCTTAACGAAAAAACTGAATTTATACTAATCAGAAGTTTCATAAAATTTTTCAGAAAAAATATTTAAATTGTCAAATAAGTAAATTATATACACATATATTTCTTAAGTTTCCATTTTTTTTTTTAAATCATGTTCATTACAATGGAAACTAATAAACAAATAAAAATAGGCTCTTTTCTAAAAACTGAATGCTTGTAAAAAAACAATTAGTTTAATACAGAAAAAAAATAAAATGATTCGTTGCAACACAATTCATTATACTCACCTCACCAGTCGTTGCCACATAGCCGGTGATGCCCACATTTATGGGGAAACGTGACTCATGCGGACTCGTACGTGACGTATTCTCCTCATGACTGAGATCATTCGCTTCAAAATCAAACACACGCGAAAAGCTGCCCTTCGATGCCTCATGCAACAACAAGATCTGTACACGCTGACACTGTATAAGACTTTGCATGTGTGTTAGTATACGGAATACCATGTGCTCAATTGTGCTCTGCTCTTCGAAGATCATACGCGCTAAATCGAGTAGAACTTGATTACGCTTAATTTCCAATTGGGATTTCTCGTACAGCTGAGCGTTGCGCAATCCGATGCCACAGAATTGTAGATATGAGGCAAAGACCTGAAAAAGGGGCGGCGATAAGACCGGTGAGTAAATATAAGTGCGTGAGTGAATTAATTAGTTCAAGTTGGCCTTTTTACAAGTGATAATGAAATTAAACTAAATTCTTATAACGGTTTTGAACCCTAAATTTGTTTCCATACAAAAAAAAATTAGAAACAAAACTCTTTTTTTATTTGAAATTTTTATCTAATTAAATAAACTTGAAGCCAATAAACACGTGTTGAGCCATTTCAAAGCTCAGCACACTCAGTTAGGCAGCAGTGAACATATTCTCTCATAAAAGAGGCAGGCAGCCCAAGAGAGGGAGAGGTAAACTTTAAACGACAAAATTAAATTTTAAGTGCGAAAAAGTTGTTAAAAGAAAGTAGTCGTTTGAGATTTTTCAATGCCAATAAAAGTGGAAACAAAAAAGTTAAAGAAAATACTAAAAAAAAATACTAAAAGAAATCTCTTCTGTCTTTAGACAAACAAGATGATAAAAATTTGTTTGATGTGGAAAAAGTTTTGGCGACGACACGCGTATTGGCCAACAAAGCGCAAAACCAATGTGAAAGGAATCGACCGGAAAATGGTTAATGCTCTGGAATGTGAAAAGTTTTCGACATTGTGGCACTCTCCAGCGACCTCCACTCCACAAGAGACGATGAAGTATTTGCACTTTGCAAAAGTAAGCGAGCGACAATATGCTCTGTCTCTGTGACTGCGTATTGTGCATGTGTGTGTGCACAAGTGTTGAATAATAAAATCGTATACAAAAAGTGAAGAAGGTCATAAAATGATTTTAAGTGTCTTCTGAGAAATCGAAAGCTGTAATAAATGTAAATTCATACATAGTATACGCAATGTATAAATTTCAAATTAGTTAGTGGTGCAATTGTGGGTTACTGTTTGGGGGGAACGGCAGTTAAAAAAAGTTTATGGGAAAAAATGCTTTTTTGCGCTAGCCATGAATTGCTTTTCACCAATTTCTTTTAAATATCTTCTGCTCACTTACTTTCTACATTGAATTTCATCATCTCATGCTGCTTACCTTCTCATCGGCCTCTGTGAAGCATTCACCATTTAATTTATTAATGACCTGTGCCACACCGATGACATCGCCTGATGAATCCTTAATAGGCATACAGAGCAGCGCTTTTGTTCGATAGCCAGTTATGCTGTCGATTTCACCATTGAAGCGTTCATCCTGCAAGAAAAAGAAATTGACAAGTAAATTAAAAATGAAAATAGCTAACTTGGAAGAGAATAAAAAATATTTCAATAACTCTTTAAAATTTTCATATATATTTATTAATTATTTTTTAATTTGATTTTCAATATCATTAACATTTTCATTTTCAATTTAATTTACTTTAATTTAATTTAATTTAATTTAATTTAATTTAATTTAATTTAATTTAAATTTAAATTTAAATTAATTTTAATTTTAATTTTAATTTTAATTTTAATTTTAATTTTAATTTTAATTTTAATTTTAATTTTAATTTTAATTTTAATTTTAATTTTAATTTTATAATAATTAATTTAATATTAATTTTAATTTTAATTTTAACTTTAATTTCAATTTTAATTTTAATTTTAATTTTAATTTTAATTTTAATTTTAATTTTAAATTTAATTTAAAGTTCTGTTTTGTTTAATTTATTTTTAGTTATAATTTTGATTATTTTTTAATGAAGATTTTAATTCTTTCATTAACAAAATTTTCGTAAATCGCAAAACCTAGTTTTTATAATATGTGAAGTTCAAATTTGATTAATAATCAATTTTTTTCATTTATACAAACGTTCACAGATAGAACGAGAGCGGAAGTATTTTTTCATATAATATTTAAAAAAACTAAAACGGATTTAATCTTTTTCCTGGAATATTTTTCATACATTCACTATACTTCCTACCGAATCAAATGCTTACGCATTTCCACTTGAGCTTTTAAGTAATCAAATATGTAATTATTTAAGTAGAATATCACCAACGCTTTTGGGTTATAAACTGGAAAAAAATCAAAACCTGCATTTACTCATGCAGTACAAAATTCAAACTAAACACACTAGGAGGCTTATAAGTGTAAATATGTACATACATATTCACATACGTGAATAACTAATAAAGTGACTCGATTAATCTGCTCATCATCATCAGAATCATCACAATCACAAAACTTATCACTCAATAGGGCTATCTAATGGACTGATACGCAGTATAAATATGTGTGTATGTTTATGTTTTTGTATGTATGTGTTTTGGCTTTTTGCACTAAATTCTATTTGTTGTTAGTCTTATCAGCATTGAGTTGTGGCTGATATGAATAATTTATATTATTACTCACTTATCCTTATTGTTTTTCTAGGAACTCATACATACATATTACCTACAGTTATCTATTATATGACTATATATTTAGTATTCTCACGTTTACTTGCACCTACTGTATGCGAATTGACTGATAAAAGTGTGTTTGATAAGAAAGCGTCAATGTTTTTGCTGTTTTTATTTATTTTTTAATTACTGATAGAGTCTTTCCCATTGGGTTTGCTCTCACAGACTCAAGTGATGAGCACATGTTAATAAATTTGGAAAAAAAAAAAAGAAATTTAAGAAAAAAATTAATAAAAATATTTGTACGAACTCCTACAAATAATATTTATTTTTTTACATTTTATAGGTTTAAATATTTAACTAAAAAAAAAAAACAATTTAAAGCTCTTATTTTTTGTAATTTCCCGCCTATGATTTGAAAACATTTTTTCCCATACGAAATATACAAAAAATAAATGAATAAAATAAAAAAGCTTATTATGTTGAAAACTAAACTAAAAAATTTTCCCAAACATAAAATAACAGCAATTAATTATAATAATATAATTATTTTTAATTTAATTTATAAATATTTAGGTTTTGTTCAAAAGTTTGCATGTTTACTTGTGAAAATATTATATATGCAAATATTTATACGAAGCGAATATAATGTACTATTTCCTCAGTAAATATTGTCATTTTTCAGCGCCGAAAATTAAAAAATTATACTATAATTATTGTATAGGCTCGAAAAAAAATTTTCATGAAAAACATAAAAAAACGCCAGCAGCGATAATCAAGATTGCAAATTTATCAACCCAAATGAGCAGTAGTTTAATTTAATAACAACGAGGGTGAAAAAATTAGTTATACTTTTTCTTTAGCTAGATAAAAACAAATAGAAATAGTAGTAAAATGTAAACGAGCTAAAAAAAAAATAAAAATTCATTAGTGTATAAAATGTTTGTAAAAGTATGTTAAAAAAAATTTTTTAACTTATTAAGATTTGCTTTAAAAGTACAGAAGAATACATTTTAATAATATGCTTGAAATATTTACTTAAAAAATGAATTATTTTAAATATTTCTATTTATTTTAAATTCAAAAAAAAATTGATAAATTAATTTAATTGTAATGTTCCCTTAAAAAAGTGTATTTTTTTTACAAAGTACACACTTTTATTTAAAATTAATTAGGAATAAAAAGTTGTTATTGTTTCTAAAATATATTTATATTTATTTTGTAGGTTAAAAAAAATTTTGCAATACATATTAATATTTAATATTTCTTTCGAAAATAGATTCTAAGAGGCTTTAGAATCCATTCATATTTTTTCATATATAGCATTTATTTTTTATTAATTAATTTAAAAGGTATGGATATTTACTTAAAAAGATTAGTTCAACTTTTTTCAATGAAGAATTCTAAAATTTATTTATATCTACTTTGAAAGTAGAGTAATTTGAAACGGTTCCTTAGAATTTATTTGTATTTATTTCATAAGTTAAAATTATGGTTATAATAAGTTTTTAAAAAGCATTGAGAATTTTTCTTTGAATAAAAACTATCATCATTCTAATAAGAGGCTCTGAAATTTTTTAATATATTAATATATAATATATAAATAAACGTAATTAGTATATTTTAAAAGTAAAATGTCTGATGTTAAAGACTTTAGAAGTTACTAACAATAACTTATATTCACTTTAGGAGTTATTTTATATATTATATATTTTTGAAAGTACAGTTTTTTTTATTTAAAAATTATTTATGTATAGAATTTTAACAGATTTTTTTTAATCAAAAATTAACAAGTTGTTGTATTTAGATTTTAAGGTTATTTACTTTCCTCCTAGAGGTAAAAGGTTTTTTTTAAACATTTTAAAATTTATTTATTATAAAAAAATTTTCTTTTTTAAGATTTAATATTTATTTACTTTTATTATCATAACAGCTGACCAACTTTTCTTCACAATGAAAAGAAAATTATGATTTTTTCAATTCATTTCCTTTTTACATTTTCAAAAAATATTATTATAGTAATTATATTATTTTTTGTTTATATTTCTGAAAGTATACAAATACCACACTCTAAAATATTTAACTTGTTAAAGAGTTGGTAGCTGTCTGAGGATTTCGTTAAAAGTTTACTCCAAGAAGGCAGTTGTAATAAGAGCTCAAGACTTTTTTTTTCAAATATTTTCGAGCAGTTCGAAAATTTGACCTACGCTTACTTGTGCATAACTCATTGTTCGACTTTTTTTTTTCCTTCTTGAGAATCTCGATAAAAAATTTAATTAAACGCCATTCGGAAACATGTGGTAACTCTCCACAAAAATGATTATTTTAAATAATTAAAGTCTCTTATAGTATTTAATTTTTTCCACAAATAAATATTCATTATCTTTTATCAGACATTTTTTTAAATATTTATGTATTTTTTTTCCTATATATTTCGCTTAAAATCTTCGTCTTTTTTACGCATAGATACTCTAAATTGGACAGACCCATACGTTTGTTGCAAATACAAATATAACTTTTCTCACATATCTTTTCTCCGCTCTCAAATTTACTCAAATAAGAATCAAATTGCAAATTTTGCAACATTTAGACCGCAGCGACGTCTTGCGCTGAGAATTTTGGTCAAATATTTCTCTACATGTGTTGCACGAGTGTGAGTGATTCGACTTCTTTTAGATGGACAGTGCTCTCCTCTGACTTTCTTTGACCCGCTAGAAGTCTACTTATTCAGAAAATTTGTATTTATGTATATTTCAACTACAATAAAATTGAAAACCTCAAGTAGTGAGCGAGAGTAAACAAGATGTATGATTAATGCCACCGGAGGCGCAGGAGTCGACAGATGCAAAAAACCCCGTCATATGAACCGATTGCAATTAATTTAGAAACATTTTAAGCGTTATATTCATCAAATTTCTATTAATTTAGCAAAAAAAATATGTTTTAAAGTATTGCTACGATTTTCTTACAACAGTTTGTTCATTTTCCTCGGTCAGTGAAAGATTTATTGCATTAGAAACTTACGCTTGCAACTCGTTAAGCCAACTTAATGCTTGGAAACATTTTTAAAAAATTGTCAACAATATATTTATGCTACAGCTTTGGACCGACTTTGGTACTCAACGATGACAACGGTACTCTGTACACATACAAATAGAAGAATAAAGTGTGAAACAAGCGTAACAAGAAAGTAAAGTAGAACTATCATTAATCTTCCTTCATTTTCTTCTGTTGAAATACAGTTTTGGAGCCTTGCCGGTAAAAGGCAAAGCAAAAGTGAAAAGGATATAAGGTTTTGTTTTCGCAGCAAAATCCGAATTTACAGTTGTACTTTTCAACTGAAAGCAATATGTATAGTATGAATATGTATGTGCACATTAAGCTAACTCAAATTATATTTTAAACTCTTTACTCGCTACTGTTAGCGGGGGAAAAAAACTAGAAAAATCACGGAAACAGCAAAAGTGTAATGGCGAAAAGTGAATTGTGATATAGATGTGTATGCACTGACCGGAATTTTGAGATGTTTTCATTTCTTTTATGCATTTATGTATGTCTACAGTGATTCATAAAACAAAAATGTTGCTCTGTGAAAATATGATTAATGTTGGGTACGGAAATGGCAATATAAATGGTGAAGTAAGAGAAATTTAAGGCAAATCCTTACGTTCAACTAAAATAAATAAATAAAAAGTAAAACATAAGGTAATAGAATTAAAAAATTAAAATCAAGTCTCGAGCCGTCTACCAAACTCTCAACCTAAATAGTTAAGCCAGTAGTCATTTAATTAATTGATGAAAAAATATTAAAAATTTTATGTAAAATTTTAAAACAGTCTTTGATTTCTCTCTTTAACTTTCCTGCATTCATTCTCTTTTTCCTCCACCCATTTTCTAAGTGCACATCGATCGCTATTTGACCCGATGGGGTTTTGTGCTTCTCTTTTTAATTATTTTGCCTTTATATGCGCACTCTAACTTCTCACTCCCTTTCATAGTTTTTATTCTTTTATAACTTTAAAAAATTGTTATAAAATTGTAATTTTAATTTTTATATTTTACAAAATATGTTATATTTTTTTTATTTTTTTTTTTATTTTAAAAATGTATTTTTATTTAAAAAAAATTATTATTATATTAAAAAAGAAAATAAATTTTATTATTTATGACCTTAATATTTCGAAGTTCATAATTCAAACATTTATTTATATTTGAAATATTTAATTATATTTTTTTTAATTTAATTTAAATTCTGCATTTATTTTAGTATTTAAGAAATGTGCATTGATATTTTAAAAAACTATTTTTATAATTTAAACGCTTAGTTTTGTATTTTAAATATTAATTTTTGTTTTGAAGACAGTTCTTTTTATATTAAAAAAATTAATTTTTGTGATTAAAAATTTTAACTTTACATCTTAAACATTAATTTTTTATATTCTTACAATTAATTTTATAGGTAACATATTTACGATTTTTTTTTTAAATTTATATTTATCTTTTTAACAATTCATTTCCATTTTTTAGAAAATTACTACTATATTAAAAAAAAATATTTTATTTAAAAAATTATATTTATGTTAATAATTAATGTTAAAACATTTATATTTATGTTTTTACAAAATTTATTTTATTTTTTTTTTAATTTACTTTGATACTTTAAACATTTACTTACATAGTTTAAAGATTTTTTTTAATTTAAAAGACTTGCTATTATGTTTTAAAAATTTATTTTTTTAAATTGTTTTTTTTTTTTTTACATTTATATTTAAAACATTTATATTTCACACACTTGTATTTTACACGTTTATTTTATATTTTCAAAATTTAATTTATATCTAAAAAAACTATTATTATTGTTTTCATATTTCAAACATATTTAGATTTATAGTTTAAAAATTAATTTTCATATTTATTCATTATTCAATTTCAAAAAATTAAATTTTTATTTCAGAAATTTCTTTGCATGAACTTTTTTCATATAAATAAGATATAATAAATTCCTTACCTGATATGCATCCGGTATATTAACCGGCTCACCGCTCTCGGCTACATGCCCAGCAATGCCTGAACCCCATGCAACGCGAACCTCTTCCTGCTGTTCCATCTCCTCCACGGTGCTGCGTGGACAAACATCAAACAGTTTGGAAACGAGACATCTGCAAAAAAACAATATTATTAAACAAATTATTATTTACTTTACTTAGTAATATTCATTATTTTATTATATATTAAAATTTAAAAAAATATAATTAAATTATTTTATTGCTTAAAATCAAATCGCTTCGTAAATTATATGGATTTTTTCAAATTATGTTCATAAAGATAGAAAATTTTAATTGAGTATTTATTTTGAATTGCAATAAACTATAAAGAAACCTTTTTCATTCATTTTGTGTCGACCACACATTAGAATTGCAAATAAAAATATATTTTTCCAGAACCAAACTTTCCACTGAAAAGTCAATCTACCTTTCGCACTAATTTATAACCAATCCATCATAATTTACAACAGTTTGCTTACAGAAATTTACAAAAAAACTTACAAACAAACGTATTCATAAGCTATATTTGTAAATATGCATATATATATATATAGGTATATGTTGATAAATGACTTGAGGCGCCGCTAAAGTCACGTTTCGCCATAACTCACACATTAATAAAGCAAAAATTTGCGCCTTAACGGTAAACTCTTATATTGACTATATAATTGAAAGTTGATGAATTTATATGGAATTTATTATTTATTAGCACAAGCATATTAGATGTATCTGAGTACGTAATAATTACGGGGGAATCACAAATAATTAGAATAGTCTTAGGATATTATTGTAATAAATTGGTGTTGGTTTATTGTAAAATGGGATAAAGCATTTATTTTGTTAAAAAATATATGAAAAATTATTAAAAGTACCAAAAAAATAATAAAAAATTCACAGAATACAGTTCCATGCTGTTCTTGTTAGATTTGTATTTGCGGGACGAGTAAATGACTTTCCACTAGTGTTTTGTTTTTTTATTTTTGTACTTGGGAACACTCCTGTACTTTTTCTAGACTATTCTTTAAGTCATTATTCTGGAAAGAAGGCCAGTACAAGAGCCCTTAATCGCCTTTATTGGCTTTCTGCGAATGATTTGTTTATCTTTCGTGTACATACATGGGATGGCACATTAACTTTGGTCCGAAGTATGTAGCAGAAGGCGAAGAGATAGCTCGCTTAAAATGTATCCCTATCGAGTCGGAATGACAAATTTATTAGGTTTGGCGTTGTCAGTCTGTTAGCCTCTTTGCACCCAAACTAGTACCTCGTTATTTGAGATATTTCAATCAAACTTGATATACACATACAAATGCACATTCAGGCGAATATTGGTAAAAAATTCGTCAGAAAAATTGGAAAAATTTGGTATTTTGTACCCATAGCAAAATCTGCACATTCGTACTGAAAATTGTCGAAATCCGAAAACAATAACACACGAGTAAGTCAATCGTGAGGCTCTGAATTCACAACATGTATGTACAAATTAACATTGTACATACTTCACCATATCATTTTCAGAGTTAATATTGATAACCGAAATTAAAAACCTCGAGAAGGCCGAAGACAGCTATTCTTTCTTATTATCATATATTTATCTTTAAGAACGGAAGTGAGTTTTGGGTATAATTCTGGGCTATTTCCTTGACTAAAGGCCAAAAGTATAAACTTTATCGTGATTACAATTTAGTTAGTTAAATAATTATTTACTTTTTTGATTTGTTTTCTTATCTTTTTTTTTTTTGTTTTTTTTTTAGACATTCTTTGGTAAAGCTCAGAAGTACTTTTTGGGTTTTCGAATGGAGTGGAGTGGAAAAGAAATACCGTTTACGAGTATGAATTTGTGTGTTCTTATAAGACGCGAATTTTTATTCATAATAATTATTACTTCATGGCGGCTGCGGACACTTCTTACTGGCATTCGGATGGCATTGGTTCGAGTCCTGATTCAACGATCATCCAAAAGTTTTAGGAAACTAATTAAAATTAACATTAATTAACTCAAAAATTAAGTTAAATTTTATAATTACGGTAGAGAATGTCAACCCCTCCGTGTGTAATAATAACATAAAATAATAGCTCCTCATTAAGGAGGGAACCTGGTTTAGAACGCTGAAAATTGCATGATATTCGGCACAGTGTTATAGGTTGTCTTGTCTTGCGTATGAAATGTTTCAAGTACTTTTAAAATAGGTCATAGTTACACAAATCTTGCAATAAAATTTACTTTCACTTTATTTGATACCGTTAAGCAATAACAATTCGTATTTGTTTGTGGCACTTCTCGCTCGAAGAGTCTATTTTGTGAACACGAAAGCGATCGTAGTTTTCATCTGAAACATAAAACCAAAGTTTTTTTTTTGTAGCTTAGGCGTTGCTCTTCTATGTGAACCTAAGACATTCGAAGAAATGTATAAAACTATTTATTTTATGACTGTTTATAAAAAATTTTGCAATTTTTTGAAGAAATTTTAAAATAATTGGTTGAAAAAAGTTAATAAATAATTTTATTTTATTGTGATTTTTTAAGTTCACATAGAAGCCTACACTATAAGCAGTAAAAAAAAGTTTTTAACCGTGTGCTGATCAGTCTCCTGAGCGCATTGTCTCTCAGAGGCCATTTCTGAGGAACGATTAGGAATTTAACTCTGAAATTTTGTGGAAATATTTCTGAATATATTTCTAATCGAATGAGATAAGTTTAAAAAAATCGATTTTTTTTACCCTCTAAACCAGGTTCCCCCCTTAAAAACCATCAGCCGTACAGAGTTGGCTTAGTATAAAAACTGTAGATTCCTCAATTGGTTGGAAAAACATCAAGACGCAAAAACACAAACTCCTTCTATAAACACGCTGTTTACGTGACTATTTCGAAAATAGATTACTGTTCAGTGTCGTTCAGTACTTTAAAATTCCCTTTTTTGAAATATTTCACTTGTTTTAACAGATGAAATCTGGTTTTTCTGAAATATGGTTTCGTGAGGAGTCTTTTACTTTTACAGGTAAGCAAAAATATTTCTACAAACAGTGCATTCATTGCTTGTACACTTCGTAGCTTATTTTATAGTAGTCCCAAAAACTTAACCTCAATTCCAAACTATCTTTAAAGTAACCCTAAGTACGTGTCGATTAATGTTTACCATTATGGCATATTTCACCGATTTTTTTTTGTTATTTCTATGAACTACGTCACTATGAAACATTATAAGCTTCGTTTTACTGCACCCAATCTCGATCTCAGCGTTTTACTACCTTTTGAAATTTATTCAAAAATATATTGTATATAAAAATGCCACCTTGTATTTCCTTCCATTTTAAATACATGTTTTTTTTTTTTTTTTTAAATAATAATTACAGTTTTTAAGATTTATCAATTTTTAATTTTACTCATAAAATAGAAAAAAAAAATTATATTTGTACTCACTTCTTAGGTCCATCAACGCCGGTATTGCAACGTCCTTGCACCAAAAACAATGAACCTCGATCGGCATTCAAAAGTATGGAAACGTTTTGCAGGATTTTATGGCACAATGTACGTACTTCCAGTTCGTTGCAGATATCCTTTACCTTTATTTTGTCATTATGTATATGCATATAGGTTTTTTGCACATCCAACGAGGGCATGATGATTAGTTTTCATTGTTGCAAATTGTTTGTAGTTATTTTTTATAATTTTTATCATTGTTTTCGCGTTGTGAATACAAATAAAATTCCATTAAAAAGAAAAGTTTTCCAGCGGCCAGGTAATGCATATTAAAAATGTTATGAAAGGAGAAGAGGAGAAAAAGTTTATGTGAATAAAATTGAAAAAAGCAATGTAATTGTTTATTATTAATAACATATTATAATTGAAATGTAGTGTAGATTCAAAATAGGCACTAAGAGACCGTTATTGATATATTTATTGAATATGTTTCGCTCAGTTTAGATTTGTAAGCTAATAAAAAGAAAAGGTCTAGTCATTTATACTCTTTCTCTTCACATAAGTTGGCCTCTGAATAGAAAGGCCTTTTTACTTGTGTGAAATTAGTTAAAAAAAAAATCCTCGGCCCGAATGAGAAATAAATTTAGGACCGTTCAGGGATATTTTTGGAGTTATTGCCACTTCATAGAATACCTTCTTCTGTTCAATTTCATAAACAAGCAATCGCAATGAAAATTGCAACGAATATTTCAAAATACAAATTTTTCTGTTTTGTTGCTAAAAATATCTCACGAACTAATACAGTTACTTCAATGTGTCAATGATTTTCATATCCTCATTTTTATACTAATACATTTTAACCTAAAATTTTCCAAAACATTAAATTATTTTTATCAAAGTAATTGCTGTTTCAACACGCCTATGCACGCACGCAATGTTCGGTTACAAAAATAAATAGACATAGTTTTAGCTAATAGGGTGGTCGAAAAATATTTTTTTTATAGAACAAAATCCAAAACAATAGACAAAGGCGTATTTAAGACGAAAAATGAAGTTGCTTTCATTTTAATAGAAAATTATTATAAAAAATTTTAAGACAAATAAGTCGTGTTTCTTTAAATATTTCTCTTCAGAAACTCATGTGTTTGAAAATCAATTAATTACCTAATATTTTTTAGCTTATTTGACTTTTTGAATTTTTCTATTTACATTTTACATCTAAACAAATTCTGAAATAATTTTTATTTTTTTTTTTTATTTTTTATTTTTAAGTTTCTTTGCTTTTATTTTAATTTTTTTTTTGTTTAATATTTTTTTGTTATATTATTTTTTTATATTTTTCAAAAAATAATATATTTTTAACGTTTTTCCAATTTTAATATATTCAACATCTACTCTTTAATTTAAAGAAATTCTCAAATAATCAGTCTTTAAATTTTTTAATCTTAGTCTCTTAGTTTTAATTTTAATTTTATTTATAGTGTTATTTTATTATAATTAATTTTTATATTAAATTAATTTGAAACACTTCATTAAATTTGAAAAAATGAATCTGAGCTAATAATATTTATTATAAATGTTTTTTTTTTCATATATAAAGAAATTTTGTATAATATATTTTTACTTTTTTAATTCTTTTATTTTAATTGGACATTTAATTTAATTTTTTATTAAATTGTTTTTAAGATATATTTAGTTTGAAGCAATTCAGTGATTTTTAAGTGATCCTGATCCAAAGATATTTGTTATCAGTATTGTACAATCAAAAGAAGATTATAATAAATATTTTCACGCACACCCTTTTGTGCAAAATATCCTAAATATCGTAAGTTCTCTTGTTCATATAGCAAGGCGCACGTGGCGTATACGTAACCACTCAACAAATAACTCAATAACCCCACAAATACAAAGAGTGATAGTCTTTAATCAACTAAAAATACTTTGGTTGCTCAAAATACATATAATAAGGGAGTTGGGTGGTGACCATCTGCAACCACTCTTATATACACAACTTCCAGTTTCAGCAACTAAGCTATTAGAAGCACAGTCGAGCACGCAACACGAAAACTACCTACAGTTTATATAGATTTTGAGTTAAAATAATTTTATTTATATTTTTCCTTATTTCTTTTTCACTATCTGCCATATCATGCTCTTACAATAACAACATTAATATATTTACGCCCACTTACTGCCCACACTTGCATACATACATCGCTGAGACAATTCCTTACCAGTTCAAAAATCAACTCCTTCTCATCCAACGCCTTCAGTTCGTTACGCGACAAGCGTTGTGGCCGATAATAGCCCATGCTGCCGTAACTGTGCGCACTCTGTCCATGATGATGACTACTATAACTGTGATGACCGTGCGTGTGATAGTGATGCGCGCCCAGTGTACTTGTGCCATTGGCTGTATTATAGTTACCACCACCACCAACTCCACTGCCGAGGCCGCTGCTGCCGCCACTGCCAATACCAATGCTATTGCCATTACTACCGCCAATATTACCGATACTGTTGTTTGTTGAGCAATCATTTTGTGTGCCTACACTTAAGAATGTCGGTGTACCATCAATGGTGTTGACAATTGGCTTCAGTAGACCACCGCGTTCAAATTCGTGTGCTGATATTTTTCTATGAATTAAAAAGTATTTGGTTGTATTTATGTCCATTTATTGTTGCAGCAAGGCAATGTTGAGTAGGGATTAAATGATGATTCACGTGTCAGACGTGTTCGTTGGAGATTTTCGTTGAGGAATTTTCGAAAAGTCGGAAAGAAGAGGGAAAAGAATGGAAAATATAAGTTTTTACATTAATAATAAATCAAAATAATGGCGGATAATTGTTTATATGGTTGAATTGTGCCCACAGCAGCCAAACTGATCATACACATACATACATACAGATATATATATATATATATATGCATGATTAATTTTTTCTTCTTTGGAAATACAACCACTTTGCTACCGTGTCTAACTCTAAGTGGATCTTTAATTCGAAAAATCTAGTAATTACTTGATGTATTATTTACTTAATACTAAATACTTTGAATTTTATGTGTTCTAATTTTTTTGTTTAATATTTACTTTCTATGACTAAAGACTTAAAGTTTTACATGTTATTATTTAAAAATGACCTAGTAAAAAGGAATCCATTATTTTTGTTATAGACTGAAGGCTTTATTTACCATGGTTAACCGGTCAACCGGATTATGTCAAGTAAGCACCGTTCCGATCAATTGCTTTTTGCCGTTTTGTGGGTGATATTATGGCCCTCTCATAGAAACTCTTGTCCCTATTTGCAAATGTACGCAACAATCGATTTTCACAGGCCACTTTTAAGTTGAATTTTTCAACAACCAAATTATACACCACAAACAAAAACTTAATTAAATAACTTGGTGCGAAGTTTGCACTAAAAGATGGGTGCATAAGAACCTCCCAACTAAGTCTTCGGAGCCTTTTGCGAGGCGAGGGAGACGTGTGTGGTCTGGAGTTGTCACCATGGAGCACAATTTCTCTCCTGTTGACCAAAGCAGAGCACTTCTTAGAGATTGTGCTCTTCGAACTCTATAATTGCTGACCGTACAGGTTCAAGTTAAGAGGAAAGCAGGTAATAATATAAGATTTCCAACACACAATACAACATTTCCAACCGACAATCTGGGCATGTAGACCTTGTGTGCCGATTCATTGCCCTTCGAACATAAACGTTTTCTTTTGGAGTTGCTCTAATTGATCCACTTCTCATCATTAATTACCATCAGCTCCAGAAGTGGGTCGAATTTTGTACTATTCAGCAGCAACGCGTAGATGGAAATTTGGTCCTGGAGGTTTTCTTTTGTTAACTTATCGATCTTTTTTGCGTATCCAGTCTTTTCCAAGAGGTTCAAAACTTTTCTGTGTACAATGATTCGCTCCCGGGTAACTATTGTAAAATATTGCTCGCATGATTTCAATTATTTTATAGAAATTCTCGATAATTGGTCGTCTTTTACATGAAGATCACCGGAACGAAATCGATGAAACCAAAAATGTACATGATAATCTCTAACAATATCAGCACCATAAACGCTTGCAATTTTACGGATATCGCATTTACAGAACGCGACATACAAATAACTTAAGCAAAAATAATGGATGGCTTTTTACTAGATATAAATTTATTTGTTTCTTTCTAAGAATTGTATAAGTTCAGAATTTTCATATTTAGAACAATAAAATAATGATGAGATTTTTTTCGACTTTAAATATCTTAGTGTATGCCAGCAGCCAGCACCTTTTACTTCATGTACTCAGGCATTAGCTTTTATCTTCCTGCCATTCGATGGTTCTATGCATGTACGTGATGGTCAGTTAAGCAATAAACTTAAAGTTTTTAATAGATGTTTAGCTAGATGGGTTCGATAAGACACTCGAAATCTTACATGTTTGCTTGCTAAGACCTTAAACATTATCTGACCGCTGAAACACGCCAGCTCCTAAATGGTGTAAGCTTGTCTAACCAAAACTTCTCTTTCGCTTCACTAGTTTTGAGCAACAACGGAGTGGTCATACTCACTTCAAATTTTCCAACTAGCACTCACCCGCATGCTTCTTCACAAGGTATATCAGACTTCCCATTTGTTATGCAACTCTCCTCCTACCACCCAAGCGTAGACAACTTCTTAAAATTTTTCAAAATTTTTTTCGGTATTTGTGTTAAACTATTTTGTGGAAATTTTTAAAAATATTTGAAACAAACAAAATAAGAGTTTAACTGCCTTCGACTTCAGTGTTTACGAGTGTTCTAGAGTTGCTACATTCGTTATGACGGTGTATGAGTTAGAGCAAAAAATATTTCAACTGGTGAAATAATAATAAAAGTCAATGTCTACGCCAACCTGCACTGACCAACAGTTAAGGGTTGAGTTAATTTCTGCAGCTAACAACTCAGCGTATTTTCAAAGTAGCGTTGTATTCAAAATATCATCAACCATCACCAGTGTGGGAGCAAGAATTTCAACCGGACTTCATACTCCTATCTCCTGCATGGGTGCGAGCGCCTCTTGTTTTTATTGTTGTTCAATATTTGTTGAATGCCAAACAGCCAAACGGATGGCTTTGCGTTGAAATGAAGGAAAACAACAGACAACAGACTGAGCATATTAGGCAGAGGACCAACGTCCAGTAACCAGCAACCAGCAGCCAGCGGCCAGCGAATAATAGACAATAGACCACTGTTGGTCACGGCCAGTAGCATAATAAATAAAAACAACAACATACCGACTGACCGAAGGCTAAAACAGCAAACATACATTGTGCTAGCATAAAAATAAATTCAGCAAAAAAAAAAATGCCCCGAAGCAAAAAGCTAAAAGGGTGGCAGGCAAGTGAATAAATTTCACTTGAAAAGAGTAAAAATCATACTTGGAATTTATGCGCAATGCTGTTGGCTCATGGCTACGCGTTTGTTGTGAAGCTGCCACCAATATAAGCCATGGAAATTTATGGAAAATGTCTATTTTTAGCAACTAGCACCAATATACACGTACATATGTATGTGCATATTAATAGCCATAATCTTTTAGCTTTGTATTACAAATTTCTCATTAAAAGGATGTCAGGATTGTGTTTGCCTCTAGCCATGCATAAGTAGGTGAGTGTATGTGCCTAGCAGATTGGCCAACAATGACAACAATAGCACGCCTACACACAGTCTTCAGGCTATTTGCCTGTGTCTGCCATATCCGCTTACATGCCTGCAGTTATCTACTTAAGAGCTGCTTAGCAATAAACGATTGGATGTGAGCATATAAATAGCCTTGGGTGATATGTGATCTCCTAACAAGAGAACAAACCTACTGACATACATACATACATACATATGTACAATGCATACGGGAACATGCCGAAGAAAGTATGGCAATTTATTGTAATCGTTAAGCTAAATTAAAAAAATGTTGAGTACTTTTAAATACATTTTTGAAATAGCATAAGCGGACTCTACCTAAAGAAATTGCAATTTTCAAAGAAAAATTTGTAAGCATAATCTTCGACTTGACACCACAAAGAATTAAAAAAAAAAAACATAATAATGTTGAAGTTGTATGTGTGTGGTTGTATTGACACAGTTAGTAAAAAAAAAAAGTCATCAAAAATTTCTAGATATTCATTGAAAATCAGGCATAGAAATTAGTTACTTCACAAACTTTAGAAAATACCTCTTCAGATTAGCTTAGGGGAAATTTTTCGGTTGGCTACAATAAAAAAAAATCAACTTAAAATATTAAATGCAAGAAAAAAAATTTAATTTTTTCCTACACAATCATTTAGATTTTACGATTGATTCAATTTATTCCTAAATATCTAATCACTTATTTAAAACTAACTTTAGTCTTTAGTTTTAGATCTACGCTGTTGTTGTAGCTCTTGGCGAATCTAATATGTATTTATTGGTGCACGCCAAAAATAAGTTTTTTTCATAAATTTCGATAACTTCTATTAGTAATTTTAGTTTTAATATTTTTTATCTAATTTTTATTTATTAATTTTTATCATTATTTAATACTCAAATTTTAATTTATAAATTCTAAGTAATTTTTAGTTCAAAAGTATTTGTATTATTATGGATTTAAGATATATATATAAACGAGGCTTAGCAAAAAATTTAACCCTTCAGAGACGAATTGAGCCGGCTTACAATTAAAGTATTAAAAATTTTAAATTAAATCTAACACTAAGAAAAAGGAACTTATGAAGATTTAATAATTGAAAATTTTTGAAAATAGAATTGTTTTGATAAATTATTATTTTAGTTGATAAACAAATACTGTTTTGTTTTGGCGTAGTAAAACCAAAACACAAGAAATTATGCGTTACAATTGATCAAACGAGCACAATTAATTAAGAGAAATTTTGAAAAAAAAAAATGTTTTTGTAAATTATTTACGTTCTTTTTTTTAAATGGAAATATTTATTATTAAATCTAAAAAGTATATTAAAAAGTTATACATTTTAATTTTTTTATTGAAATATTGTTGAAATTTTGTCTTTTCGGTATCTACATAAATTATTGATAAGAATAACTGTTACATTTTTAAAATTTCTTTTTTTTTATTATTGTTAAATATATGTATGTGCGTATATTTTTTATATAAATTTAAATATTTGTATAAGCAATTTTTTTCCTACTAATTTTCTTACACTCAACTTACCTCACTGGCGTTGTCGCACCTGAGCCACCACGTGACGAACAACTCTGCCCATTTGTGTGCGTAGGTGAGCCTGTCAATGAGACATCATTACCAGCGGAGGTGGCATGGGAGACGAGCCAAGCATCAACAACCTGTCGTGTGGCTTTTCTGTAAATATTTAGGTGAATACAAAATATTATTTTCATTTAAAAACATACAAATAAAAAAAAACAAACAGAAATGAATCATAAAGTAAGTTTTTAAGGAGCTTGGGGCTATCGATGAGCCAAGATTTCCTTCGGAATGGGTTAAATGGATACAGTCATGAGATTCCAAAAGCATTTGCTAAGCTTCTATTAAAACGTCAAGAAGTCACTATTTTCTGCGACAGTGGATATTGAATCCTTATTTTATCAATGAAGTTGGTCATAATGTCAAAATGAAAGGTTGCACGGCCGTGTTTAATGAATTTTTTTCGAAACAACATTGGCGATACATGCCATAAAACCAACGAAATAATCAATTTATTAAAGTAAACTTTTATTAAAGTAAAATATAATTCAGTGGCATATGGTTCCAAGTGCTACAAAACGTCCCAGCCACAAGGCGGGAGTTTATTCGAGACCGCATTAAATTTTGAACATAAAGGCAAGCTCTCATGTTTTGAATAAGGCTTAACTCTTGGCCATATTATAAAATATTATGCGTTTTATTTTTCCTACATATCTTCAAAAAAAAACCTTTTCCCACATTTTAGGCTGCAGATCTTCAAACGGCTCTTAACAAAATCATAAATTTGAATATTTAAGCTGATGTTATTGTTTTAATTTTTTATAAAAAAAAAATAATAGTATTTTCTCTGCGCAAAGGGAAAAACAAGACCTTAAACTAATCTCAAACATATTTTAAATTAGGAAGATATCATCCTCAAACAACTCCAAGGACAACAAATGTACACATGTCAATTCAGGGTCACCCAATTAAGTGTGCACGAGATACTTTTAGTCCTTTTTAAATAATTTGTATAATCTACATCAAAAAAGGCAACAAAAAATTTTCAAACTGCACATGTGTAACTAGCAAAAAAAATTTAACTACGCATATATTATAAAAAAAAAAATAGTTGCTTTCAACATGAGAGTCTTGCAGCATTTTGACGCAACTGCTGAGAAAAACAAAGTCAATAAATCATATGGCAAAACAATATAAATATAAGAATAAAAAGGGTGAACAATACTAGAGGCTCGTGTATACATGTGTAAATGCCAAAAAACTATAGCTAAAGTATCAAAACTTTCCAACTGTGAATGACAGCAGAAGAGAGAAGTATATGAACTGCATTGACCTAAATCAAAATTCTATCTAAACAAATAAATTGATAGACACTATTGCCTTTATTCACGTTTTATAAAATTTTTAGTTTTTATTTTTGTTGTTGTTTCCTTCTATATTTTTATTTCTGATTTTTATTTGTATAATTTTTTAATTTTTATTTTTGTTTTTGTTATTGCTATTGATTTTAATTTTATTTTATTTTATTTTGCTGTACCACTTAGATTTATTAGTGCCATTTTTTCACCATCAAATATTTACACAGTTTCTATGACACGATGAAAAGTATGCTGTGAAGGGTTTTCAGGTTTTGTTATTGTGGAAAAATGTGTTTCTTTTTGTTTTTGCTCTCAAGTGGCTAACAAACAAATGGCTTTGCAGCTTTACCTATATCTAGACCAGCGCAAGCGCTGTCCTTTGATATTGTCAGTGTTCGCATGGTTTGCATCCACTTGATGTTGGTTGCTCATACGCCCCGGCACTTGTTAATCTATACACTACCGTAAGCGCTTTTGTCACGTATATATTTAAGTGCAGTTTTTAGAAACACAAAAAGGAGGCTTACTATTGTGAAGAGCTGAGAGGTTAGTAAAGGGCTTAAGGTAAAACTTTTCATTATTGTATTTTTTTAAGAGCATTTTTAGTGTGTTTTTAAATATTAAAGATTTCTTAGGGAATGAACAAATTTGACTAAAAATAATTGCAAAGGAATTTTGAGATCATATTTTTTAAGAAAGAGATGAGAAAGATCAAAAATGTTATGTGATAAACGAAGAAGAGGTTGAAAAGTAAAAGAGGAGGAGAAGGGTAAAAAAAATTATTTTGAATATTAAAAAAAATCACGTGAAATTCGTTAGAAAGGCTAGAATTCATAAAATAACAATTAGACTGATTCTATGATAATAGAATAAAGGTAACTTAAAGCCAAAAAACCTCAACATAGTAAAGTTTCCTGAGAGATAGAGAATGATTGACGTTAAAAAATATGAATTATAATGAAGTGAATTCAAAAATTTAGATATAGGAATAGACGAAAGATAAGGCGAGTGAGTGTGTGAGATGAAGATGACGTAAAAAAGCGAACTTTAGCAATAAATCTGAACAAAAATTGAATAAATTTTATGAAAGAAACATCTCAACTTTGATAAGATTGAAATAAAAACTAAATTACATATCAATTAAGAAAAATGTATGAAAAGTATAGCCATCGATTTCCAGCATTGCATTTTTTCGCGGTGTTTTAAGCAAATATGAAAAAAAAAATCTTAAAATATTTTTAAACAGGAATTTGTATAAAATAAATACTAAAATATTTGCCTCAAAAGATTCTCAGGGAGAATATAAATAATTGGCCAGATTTTTCAAAAATTTTATATGGATTTTCTTAATCACCATGACAGCTGTTTTCACAGAATATGCAAAATTTTAATAATTTTTTTCCCTATTTGAATTAAATGAAAAAAATTGATAGGTGGCAACTCTAATACATAATTCTCATATATACATTCTTATTCACATGCTTAGCGTGATTTATATGTTGTGATAATACTTTTTACTTCAATTTTTTTTCTTAGTGCTTTGTGAAGTAGAGGAAAATCTCTATTTCTGTTTTTATATGTATATCATTGTATCTGCCAATCATGCCAGTTGTGTACTATCTTCCATAAAATTCTTCAAAATAATTTTTGATATTCTTCTTCATACATATAATACTCATATTACAACACATTTTCCTAACAATAATCAAATGTCAAGCCATAAATATAATTTTTCCCCCAAAAATAACAGTCGTCACTAATAATCACAATTTTCGACAGCCAAACAAGGAGTGCTGTAGTACTTACATACATATGTAGAGAATTTGACTGTTGCCAGTGTTGTCGGTATGTACGCATGAAGTCATACAAATGCGTACTTATGCAAATCAAATGTCGAAACGCGCATATAAATGTAACTAAATTACACTTAACACTTACATAACTAATACCCGCCCAATGTGTATATATGTACATATAAATTCATACTCCGTGGTGAGAGAGCAATAAATATACTCATATACATACAAATAATCTCAGCAACGAAATAAACGTTTTGTGAAATGCCACATGCCTTCATTAGGAGGCGAAAAAAAATTTATGGCAAAATGACCCTTATGTTACATATATATGGTTGTGCATACTAGGGTGCTACAAAATACATGTGTAATTTATCACTTTTTATTTTTTTTAATTTTCTTTTTTTAATTTTTACAATAACTGATTTTTGTAATAGTTATTTTATGTCTTCTGAAATAAAAAATATAATAATAATAATAAAATAACCATTATTATGGCAACCCTACTCATAAACATTTGGCTCCAAAAACATTCTAACCTCTTTCATAATTAATACTTTTTAAACAACATCTTTGTTATCAATTCATGTAATTCAATTTTGAAATAGGTGGCAACTTTATTCACAAAAAAATAATGTATTACTTCTTACAATTTTATTTGCCAGTGTCATTTCTACAATAAAATAAACATTTCACATGCTCTATCACTTTCTTAATTAATATGTAATATTAATTAAATAGATAGAAACTCTGATCTATAACCAACCATTTTTTCCCCTTAGTGCCTTCTACACTTTGCAAGTATGTTTAATTTTACTTACATAAACAAATTATCAAACTATAGAGGTTAAACGGATGGCAACTCTTCTCAAAAATATTGGCGTCCAACAATCTTAAAATTAATCTAATTTAGTATTATTTGATATGTCCAATCCTCTTTAAGCTTTAAGAAAATATTTTCAAAATTAAGTGCATTCCATTTTCATTTATATCCGCAATTTAATAAAAATTTCGTATATTTGATCATTTTCTTAACTAAAAATCTTCACAACTTTTTTTTTCATTTCAACATTTTTTTAACATTTTGCAGTTAATTATCCGTATTAAAATACCTTATCTATCTGCTCAAAATTTAAAACTAAATAGTCAAACAGGTGGCAACTCTACTTAAAAAAACATTTTTAATTTAAATTTATTAATTATTGCCAAATTGACTTAATATTTTATATTTTTTATTAACTTAATTCAAAATGCTAAATAGGTGGCAACTCTACTTTAAAATTTTCTTATTAAACTCCTTTGCACTTTTAACAGTCAGATATCTGTATTGTAATAAAATATTAAACTTTTAATTATCTCAAATTGGAAGCATGAGACAGGTGGCAACCCTGCTCAAGAATGGTACTTTCCGTATATCCTCCAAAGTTTCATTGGTTGATATTTATGTATTATATGCAACTTTAAGTATCTTAATTCTAGTTTTTACATTTTATGATCTTCACTGCATCTGTGCATTTGAAAATTCTTGATCACAGTGCTATCTCAGATGTATATTTTCCGTCAGCCGCTCATATAGGAACAAAAATAACAAAATATATTTTTTATCAAAATTTTATTGCAGATTTTCAGTTTATATTTTTTTTTTAAATCTTTAAAAAATGTTCGAAATAAAATTATCAAGCTCCAGCAACCCCACTACGTTTATTAATATGTATGAGCATACAAGAGTAAATTATTAAAGGAAATCTGCTGGCTTTCTAATTTTTCATAACTTAAGAATCTTTTCATCACCCTAATATATATAAATAAATTTTTATCTGTCTTTCAATAATTGTCGTTGTTGCGAAATATTGAAAACATTTGTTGAAAGCGACGCCAATATAAGCATACGCATAAACGAAGCTCATAAATTTTGTTCGCCTCAAGCGGCATGCTGCACGCATATAAAACCGAATACACACGCAAACACACACGGCCGCCATACCGGAATTGCCTTTTGACCATTTTCGCACATCCATAAATTCTTCGTTTTATTAATGGTCAATTTATTGGGTCAGCTTATTTGACTTCCGCATGAAAGAAATCGCAATTTTCTTTCTCTCTTCATTTTTTCTACACTTCCTTTGGCAAAGGCATCCACCCAACTTTTTGCTTTACTTTGCCTTTCATCTTCTTCTTCACCCAGCTACTTGCTGCATCCAAGCAATTTACATAACTAAGCTTCGACGCTTTTGCAGTTCCAGGAATTTTTTAACAATTTATGATGATATTTATTTTAGTATTATTATAATATTTTCTTTTTACCATTACTATCCTTCGTCACTTCTCACTTTAGCATAATTTTTTTTTCATTTCGTTTTTTGTACTTTACCTTTTTATTACTTTGGCGCGTGTTTGACGGCTCAATATCATTTAAATTCATTTCATTTTCCTACATAACTACAACTGGCATATTATTACAGCTGCCACGGGTGCTGCCACTCGTGTTGCGGCTAATAAATTGATTGACATAGTAATATCCTTTGATATCCTGCCGTAGCTGGTTTGCCATTTATGGAAGCATCTACTACTATTTTTATGATTGGCCATTTTTTTTTTTGCATTTGCATTTTCGAGAGCTTTTTGCTCGTTCTTTTTGATGAATGTGGACCAAAGTGTTAAGAGAAAAGTAGTATTTTTAATACCTTTTGAAATAGTATTAAAAATAGTAGTTTTGTCAACTGAATCCCCTAATTTAACATTTAACGGAAACAAAAATAGAGAAATATTCAAAAATAACAACAAATAAGAAAAATTAAAAGAACACAGAGAACTCAAAACATATATCAAGTAAAAAAGTATAAGCAAAAATAAAAATGCAAACTTTCATTTGATTCTATAAAAGTGTCTGTTGCTTAAGTTAAAACTTTTAAAAATTCATAAAAGAAAAATTAAATAAATTTAAGGGATATCAAGTGGGCAAACCTTCGATTAAGATGTTAAAAATATAATAAAAATGAAATGAGCAAAAAGTAATAAAATATAAAAATTTATTAAAAAGAAAAATAATAACAACGTAAAAAAATTTAAATCCGAAAAAACGTATATAAAAATGTTTTTAACATCTATATAAAAAAGTTTAACTGTTGAATGTAAAAAAATTAAAAACAATATAAAAATGCCAAAAACTGCCTGTCTTATAAACAAGAAAAAATTATTAAAAAATTTATACATTCAATTCATGCAAACAACCCGGTCTTTAGTTTACTTAATACTTATATCACAAATTATTACATAGCATGGCCGCAAAAACTATTACAAAAAAAAAATTATAGTTTTAAAATAAAAAACTAAAAAAGCACTGGAGAATGTATTTAAAAATTTCAAAAATTGAAGAAAAAGAAAATAAAACAGTTTTCATTGCAAAAATTGTCAAAGTCTGCCTGGAAATTTCTAATAAACAAAATCGATTTTTTAAATAATAAAATTTAAAAAAAAAATTTAAAAGTAAAAAATAAAATTAAATAAAAAAACTCTGAGAAGATCATCCGGCTCTGTGAAAACCAATAGAGAAGTTTATTTTCCCAATTTAAAAAGCAATAATTCATCTAAAATTAAAAAAATCAATAGTCATTAAAAATATTATAATGAAAAAACTAGAAAATCGCAAACTTTGCCTTCGACTTTCACTACAGTAATAACAAAAGCATTAAAGTTTTTAAGTTAAAAACACAAACAAAACACAAAACTCGCAGATTTAACACCTTTTTGTATTTTCAAACCGACAGATTTTCCATTTAATTCCTGATTTAATGAATTTAAATAAATAAGAAATATTTAAAAAAAAATTTGAAAGCAAAGAAACACCAGATACAACAAACTGCCAAAAAATTTACATTTACCTTGAAAGGGTTAATTTTCTGTTGTCTAACATTTGCATTACTCTTGCCGAGCAATAACATTTAGTCAAGTGATTTACATTACACAAGCACACACTTGGCCCTGACAGCTTACGCTGTAACTGTGATTCTCTCAACCATTATGCTGGTGGGTGGCATGCTTAGCAAATAGATGAAAATATTAGCACTTTAATGTATGAACAAGCACATTTTGCTAAACCCATAAAAATATATGTGTGTATTGTGATCTTTTATAAAACTTGCTATTGTCTGTTAAGGTAATATTAATACTACATACATATATTTATATAAGCATTTATACATATACGTATGTATTTGAAAGCTATTTTTTTCTCCATTTGTTGCACAAAGCAGCTTAGGTGGCTTAGCTAACATACGAGGTCATGCTTAATGCCATAATATTTAGCAGAGTTCTGCGGGCTGATGCACTGTTGCAAGATTTCCTATAAATACATACTACTGCATTTATGCTGTATCTACTCCCTCACTTGCTTTCTCTTTCACTGACAAATCTCTCAACTACATAAAACTCTATTTATTTTTATTTTATTTTTTATTTTATTTTTATAAACTACACCCAGGAGATTTTGAATTTTCCTCCTCCCTGCTTCGCTAGTTGACTCCCTGCCTCTCTCCCCCCGCTTACCTTATAAAATAATCCTGTACAAATTCTTGATTCTCATCCATCCACGCTTCCATACGCGCCTGTTCGGCATCATAACCCTTTTGTGTGGTATGTTGCATGGTGTGCATGCTCTGTTGTTGTTGGTGTTGGTACTGATGTTGGCTATAATGACTTTGTGTGGTGGTTTGCAATTGCAGGGGGACACCGGTGGTACGTTGATTTAACGCATTGGCATTTTCAAATGTTACGCACCCTGTGCCCCCCTGCTCCGCCGTAGGCATACGTCCCCCACCACCGCCACCGGTGTAGTAGTGATGTGTTTGTTGTGTTTGACACTGCGTTGCGCTGGTTGGCTCTTCAATGCAACGCAATTGTAGGCCTGGAAAGAGAAGAGAGTTGGGGAGAAATTATTAGTTATTTATATAGGTTTTAATAATCAAAATTTTTGAAAATATCATTGATTTTTTTGTGACGACTTTTGTAACAATTGTTAAATAATTTTTAAAATGTGTACGTTTAGTCGACAATACTAAATATGTCAGCCTAAATGTAGGCAACGTTTAAAGTAAAGTATATGATATATTGCCTTATCTAGGTTACGCCGCAATGTATACATGAGCAGCTTATTTTACATAAAATCAGATAAGAAAAAGTTGATGTTTTAACAAAAAAAACTTAGTACCTAGATTTTAATTCAATGTCAACAGAACTTCTATAGAACTCTAAATTTGCAACCTAATATTTATTGTAATTTTTTTTTTTGGTCGCTTGAATTTTTTTAGCAATTTTTATAGCTTAGCTTAAATGTAGGCTACGTTGTAGCACTATAAACTTTTATTGATAATCGCTATTTTATCTTGAAAAAAAAAATTTTTTGAACAAACAAATATATATTCGTTCTTCCAGTATCTTGTATGTATTTCAAAACAACATAATATTTATTAAATTATTTTTCTTATCATAATAACTTAAAAAAAGATTTCTTTAAAAAATTGTCATGCCTTGAAGTTAAGGGAAAACTTTCAGGCTCATAAATTTGTTTGCTAAAAGTAGAAAAATAGAAATCTTTAACCTAAATGTAGACAAGGCTTTGTTAATACAGAGTGAACTTCGTCTCTAAAATGTTGTCTTTATTAGGATACTAAACTTTCAGCGTATAGTTCATATAAGAAACTGTGACAAAGATGGATTCTGGAAATTTTAATTTTTTAAAACAAAAAATTAAACGAAAAGTCCTTTTTTATTTCAATTATATTTAAGAAAACGCTGAATTTTCATACAATATTTTTTAAATAAAAATATTTTTAATAATTTTTTCCGTTTTCCGTGTATTGAGAGCACAAGAGTTTAAGCCTAAGTGTAGGCAACGCTTGATTATAATTTTACAACTATTTTAAGAACTGTTGCCTACATCTAGCATTTCATAATTAGTAGCTGTATAATTTAAATAAAAAGTTTGATAATTACTCAAATTGGAAGCTGCCTTGTGACGCTTAGCATTTTGCCGACCTATAAATTGAGGTGGAAAAAAAGCAGAAAAAAAGCAGAAAAAAAGCAGAAAAAATCAACTTTCAGCACAAAATTCGCTGACACTACCAAACCAACAAGGACAACGTTGATTACGTAGGAATTAATTGGAGCCAAAAAAGGTAGATAAGCTGAAATTTAACACACTTACAATTTTAATGTAGGTACATATATATGTAGAAATTTGCACACAAAGAAAATACATATGAGCAATAAAATAGTGGGAATGCAATAAATTCACAAAACCACTGGGGCATCGCTATGGGACCCATCTCTTACATCTCTGAAAAATAGCTAAAATTTAAAAAAAAAAGCAATATTCATTTATGCACCGCACAAAAAATTTCTCAGCGGTATGCACTTAGTCAACCACCTATCTGCCACCCACTAACCAGGTTGCCCTCAGACAGTTGAGCTGCAATTTGAGTGCATAAAGGATTAAATAAAATTTGTTCGACATTCGAGCGTGCTGGCAGAGGGGAAAAGAGAAGAACAAAGCAACCGCTTTGGTGCGATATACACAAATTGGGTTTGCCAGTGGGAATAAGAAGAAGAAAAAATACAAAAAACAAAAACACACATGCTGACTTTGCCAGCCAGAAAACTCGTTAAAGTCATTTGCGCCACACTAACAAGCTTAAATTATTTGTATACGTATACGGAGACAGAGGCATACGTAAAGTTCATTTCACACACGCACGCATGCGTTGGTCATACAAAAATTCATGGAAATTCATATAAAGTATGGTGGAAGGTATTTTTCGCTTCATACCGCATACAAACTAATACTTAAATGGCATTTAGTATATATATGTATTTACAAGTATGAAAACGCATAAATGCGTGTTTTTACCAATTTCGTCCTTTTTTGGCATATTTCCTGTGTTGCCTTCTGTGCATTCGAAAGCGAAATAAAATTTTAATGCATTGGTGTGTGAAGAATTTACCAGCGGTGTGAGCTGGAGCAAATTCTTTTGGCAGTGATTTGTTTTCATTGAGTTTAATTACGAAACCACATTTACCAATACTCGGTCTGGGCGGAGCTTGAATGCATTTGAAAAGTTGGCAGCAGTCGACTATCATTTGTAAAAAAAAAGAAAAGTGGTTTGAAATATTTGTAAATTACATTTTTTTTTAATACTTATTTACTCGAACTTAAAATATCAATTAGATTTCAAAGTTTTATTTAAGATATTCAGTCTTTATGATAGAAATAAAAATAAAGTAAATCTTATAACACATCCTGAATGTAGGCAACGTTTTAATGAATATCGTTAAATAATAAATAGCAAATATTGCATACATTTGGGGAAGTTTCTGTGTAAAATACCTAAGGGACAAGCGCAAAGAATAAGTTAGTAAAATCCTTAATAAATTTCAAAATGTACAAAAATAAATGAAGTATAAAAAATCGTTGACAATGAAGGTCTGTAGACTGAATCACGTTAGACTTGAAAATTTTTGCTGAACCATGGAAATTTTATTCTGCAGGAGTTGGCTGAATAGAACAACTATAGCTGCTTTGAGTCCATTGTTGCAGAGAAATATGAGTAGAACGGCGCTACCTCTCACATTATACAAAACAGAATTAATTTGCAGAGAGACGGCGTCGGCCTATCAACCAACTTGGTTATAACAGAACAAGAGAAGGTCGAAGGGATTATGACCCTGAAAACATGACATTTCAAGGTGATTTGTTATCTGACGTGATATTTTTTTTGTATAGTACAACATAAAGAACACCAATGGACCACTTCCACCGGATATTAGTAGAGGAAATATATAATATTGAAGTGGAGCCGAAGTGTTAGAACAATCGAATTTTCCCACAATACTTATTACTGACTTTTACGGAATTGTCGGTCTCTAGTAGTAATGAGCTTTATTTTTTTCTACTAAAATAATTTCGTATTTTCCCCTTAAATTAGTGGTTTAAAAACATTTTCTGCCCTAAAATATTACTTTAAACCTATTTTTTAAAATTTTCGATTCCTCTTAGTTTTTTTTTACATGAATAAGCGCCAAATTTTCATTTTATTTTAAAACCAAAAACAAAACTGAAATCGAATCGAAAAAATGAAAAGAAATTTAATTAATTACTTGAAGTCCTTTTGTTTTTTATAAGACAAAAATAATCTTTTCAAGAACAATATGCGTTTGGTGAGCATAGCTCCAAGTCATTTTTAGTTTAAAAGTAATTTTAGGGTGACGTCATTGAAAGTAATCTTCTCTTTAGAAAATCTAACAGTTCTTAAAAATATATAATTAAAAAATTAGATCGGCCTTAGCACCTAAAAATATGCAACAAAAATTAGTTAGTTTTTTAAATAAAAAGCCACCCAGGAAAAAGGTGCTTAAATAAAACCTTTCATAAGCTCAACCTTTGCAAAAGAAAAAACAACGAAGTACAAAAAACGCTTGCACTAAAATTTCGCAATGAATTTTTGTGGCCAACAATTTTAGTGTCGACGCCAAAATGTCCTGGCAACATGCATAGCTGCATATTTTTATTTTTTTCCCCACACAGCCATTTTTGGTGATATAAAGCGCCAACGTTGTATGTTTAAGTAACGATTGTTCAGGCATGTGTCCCGTTTTTTGCATATATGAGTATGTAATACGGCGCTACATGCTAGTACATATATGTATGTGTATGCAAGCGTACATTGAAATATGTGTCAATGCATGTCTTTTTACTGCATTTCCATAGTTTTTATGTTACAAAATTTTATGTGAATGTATATGCGTGCAGCACTCACTGTTCCGTGGTATTCCTTTGACTGTAATACGAATTTACTTTTGCTTTTAAATAATTTTTTTATTAACACTCCAGTGCTATTTTATGAATTGCTCTATTTTATTTTTTTTTTTTTTCAATGTAGTCTTAAGCACAGAAATGCGTTTTTATGTATAACTTAGTAAAACATGCAATATGCAAAAATTTAGTGAAAAGTCCACACACAATTTAATTAAGTACGTACTCCATTTACTTTTTGTCCCGGATACTTTTCATCAATTTTCACTTATACAGTAAAATTGATATTTACTTTTTAATAAAAATACATTTTAAATGCTTTTAGTGAAGAAAAATCAAAAGAAATATTAAAAATTATAGAATTAAGCATACATTTTATTTCAATTTCCATATGTATGCAAAAAAAAATTATTTAAATATAACTTAGTGGACGAAAGTGAAAATTTTACATCAAACTGAGTTTCATTTTAAATATTTGAAGATATGAAAAAGCAAAATATGTACACTACTCCCAATGCAATCCTTGGCCTATAGAGTTAGAGTATAAAACTATAAATCCACAAAAACGTAGCCTACATTTAGGTTGATTTCAGGCTATGTACAAATTGCAACAGCTTTTAAATAACAAATATTAATTGATTTTTAATCACCGAATGGTTTACGTAGATTTTAGGCTTTTGTAGTTCTAATACTTTGAAAAAAAAAATGAAGTTGAATGTATTTACATTTCCAATGGAAAGAAATAAAAGCTAAAGGACTAAAATATTTATATTAAATATCATTCATTACGTTGTGCAACGTTACTGTATCAAATTTTATGGAAGTTCATTGTTGACTTGAATTCGATAAGTCATAACCGAGAAATGCGCCTAATTGTCGGCAACGGATATTAAGCAAAAAAAATATTTATTTGTATCCACAAAAACGTAGCCTATATTTAGACGAAAAAAGATTGTATGGATATTTATGCTACAGTTGCGATACATGCGTTTAAAAAGCTTTTGAAATTTTTATTCTACGAAAAAAAAAATTATCAACGATAAAACGAAAAAATTTTCTATTTAAGGTAAAAATAAATTTATTACATATTAATAAAAAATTGTGTTTGCTTGTCCAGCATTGCAGTAGTATATTTCATGGGAGCAATGTAGGAAATGTTATAATTTAAAATAGTAGTTTTCATGCTTCAAATATATAGCCTACATTTAAGCAGCGGCAGACGAATATATTCATTCAACAGAACATTTTTAGAGACGTTTTCATTTCACATTCGATAAAAAAAATCATTTCACAGATAACTTTATTTTAACTTTATTGCATTATATACCATAACATCCGATAATAAATTTTTAAGAAACTTATGATTCATGTCCTTGGCAAGAGCTAAAATATCTAAGCGCCTAGTTGTACGCAAAGCTATATTTTTAAGTACTACTCATAAAAATTTACCTTTATTTTAGCTGTAAAATATTATACTCAAGTTGTATATATATCACCAACTTAACTTTGGTACCTTACAGAATTCCCCACCTCTCAATTTTACCAAATAAATATTTACTGTAGTTACAGAAATATTCTAGGAAATACTGTATTTCACCAATTCATCTAACCACAGAGAGTTCTTTCTCATGCTCACCTGACACCGGTGAACTATTCCCCGTGTTTGCTGTCGTTGTGACAGCCGTTGTTGTTGTTATTGCTGCTACAGTGGCACTATTAACTGTTGTTGCTGCTGCTGCTTCACTATTCGCTGCCGTCGGCGTCGCCGTCACCTCCGCCGCCGCTGCCGCTGTTGCAGTGGCTGCTGGTGTTGCAGCTCCTGTTGTAGTCGTATTTTTTGTTGTCTTATTCTTTTTGTAGCGACATCCACGAAATCGGCACATACTTGCAGCCTGGCCCATGGGGCCCGCCAGCAATGCAAATGTTAGTCCCTCCGTCTTAAAGAGTTTAATTTTGATTTATTTACCGGCACTGCGTCGTCGTCTTTCGCTTTACTCTCAACACCACTGCAACTGTTATTGTTGTTGTTGATGCTGATGTTGTTGTTGTTGTTGTACTGCACTTTATTATTGTTAACAACTGGTTGACAGCACAACAACAACAAATCTGTTAGCTCTACGCAAGCCAATTTACTGTGTTTCAATTGTAATGAATTTTGCCTTGTCTTGAGCAATGAATGCTCACGCTTGTTGTTGCGTAGATATTGATGTTGTTTTTTTTGCCTTTGTAGTTGTTGTTTAAGTGCTTCTGCCACTGGTGGCGTGCACTCAAAAATTACCGTTTGCTTTAGTAATTTCAGCTGTCTCAGTATTTGCCTATTTTGCTGGAGCTGAGGTTGCCTTGAAAATTTAATTAACCGCCGCCGCTGCTGTCGCTGCTGCCACGTTTTTGTTTTGACTTTTGCTTTGGATTTTAATACTAAAAACTGCAATTTGCTTTTTGTTGTGTGCACTCTCATAATAGCTTACGTTGAATTCTGCTGGTTCTTTAGTCGACTACACCAATTCAATTAATTAAATTTTAGCTGTTGTTTATTTTTGCTGAGTGTTGTTCGCTGCTTGGTTTTGTTTTGTAATTTATTTTTTGAACAGTAATATTTCTGAGCTGAATTTTAACTAAGTTTCGGTGTTCAATTCAAAATTCACTCTCACATAAAAAGTTTTTATCTGAAGCTTGCTACATGATTTAATTCATCTAGAAATGCGAAGGGTTTTCTTACTGAATAAGTTTATAACATATAAGAATATTAAAACTTTATAAAATAAAACAAATAGTAAAATATATCAAAAAAAAAATCATCAAATAAAGCGGGGAAAAAAATAAAGTAAAATTAAAACTAATATTTTATATAAAACAAAATAAGTGAAAAGAAATAAAATAAAATAAAGTAGACATTAAAAAAATCTAAATAAAATAAAATGCAATAAAATAAAAAGAAAGAAATATGATAAATTACAACAAAGTAAAATAAATCCAAAATTAAATAAAATCAAATAAATTAAAGTAAAGTAAAGTTAAATAAAATTAAATGCAATCAAAATAAAGAAAGATAGAACAAGGTAAATGAAAAAAACAAGAAATAGCAAAGCAAAATTAAAAATGAAATAATAAAAGACGAATAAATAAAATAAAATAAAATAAAATAAAATAAAATAAAATAAAATAAAATAAAATAAAATAAAATAAAATAAAATAAAATAAAATAAAATAAAATAAAAGAAAATAAAATAAAATAAAATAAATTGAAATAAATTAGTTAAAATAAATTAATTAAAATAAAATAAAATAAGTTAAATTAAAATAAAATATGTTAATAAATAAAGTAAAATAAAAAGAATAAGTTGCAACGAAATTAAATAATCGAAGGGTCAACTGTTCGTATATTATATTTTATTGTAATTTTTCTGGCGTACTAAATTTTTTATTTTTAGTTTTTTGTTCATAATTTATATTTATTTTTTTTTTTTTGAGTTTATTTTTGGTTTTCTTATCTCTCACACATACTGCCACTCAAAACTGTGACAGCCGAGTTCGGTAAGCCTTTGTGCCACCGCGTGCACGTTTCACGTTTTAGTACTTCTTCATTTTTTTGCCTTCTAAAAGTCGCAATGTTGGGCTTTCCACCTTTTATTTATCAAACGCGTCAGATGTTTGTAACTTTTTAAAATTATTCCAATTATAAATTTTTTTTTATATTTAAAACATTTCTTTGGTTGTGTGTTTCTGTGTGCTCTCATTTACTCGCTTTTCAACACGTGCAGCGTACTTGTATTTATTTAGTTATCATTTTTTTTTTTTGTTGGCTTGCCACCACGCAACATGAAAACCATATTAAATTACAAACAAACAATTTGAAAACAATGAAACCTAAATACCTAAAGTCGCACTTGTATTTGCGGGCCAACTTTTAATGTTATTATAGGTGGGTGAACTTTCCGTATGTACACAGATTTTTTTTCCATAAATATAAAAACAAAATTTCTTGTCTAAAATCAAAAGAGGGGAGCAAGTGGTTTACAAATATTTTAGATGTAAATTATTTTAGTTTTTTTCTATGAATATAGGAAAAAAATCTGTGTATAAAGGCAAAGTTTAAATGTATGCACTCAGTGAATCGAAATATCGTATTATATATGTTTGAGGTGTGTGAACTTGCTTAAATGAAGACATCTGCGCCTGAATATAGGCAACGTTTAGTTACGACATTACAAGCTGTGTCATGATTAGCGCAAATTAAACACTACCAACATTTAGGCTAATTTCATTACAGATAGTTAATTTCATTACAGATAACATAAAACCTGAACGTTTATAAAATCGAAAATTAAGTAAAAATTATTATTATTATATTGTATTATGTTTATAGTTCTTTGTATAAATTTTTTAGAAAATTATAGCTTAAAGAAAAGCAGAAAAGTCAAGAGCAGCACAGAAGCTGCAAAGCTGTTAGTTGCGTCAAACATTAAGTCTTACAGAAGTTAATGAGAAAATAACAAAAATGTTTGGAGATTTCTACTTGGGAGATTAAGTACTACCAAAGCTAAATTAAGAACGATGAAAAAGAACAAAGAGGAAAAGGTAAGAATATATTTATTCATACTTTTGCATACAATTTGAATTCACTGAGTTCTTTATGAAGCAATAACATTTGCTGCAGTTGCGTACCGCAAGGCGAATTTAATGATAAAAATTGAAAGAAAGCTATAAAAGAGTGTAGCAAAAGCAGCACTGAGCAGGGAAATAAAATTAGAGTCAAAGCCATAGTCAATGCGACCCACCAAGAGCTAGAGTTTGAAGCTACTTGCTTTACACACTTTTAAATTTATTCATAGGATTCTGACAATTTCTTTCCTTCCTTACTTTTTATGTGTATATTATGCGTTGCGTAAATGACTATGTTTATTTACATATTTATAACCACATTCATACCCACACTCACACATGCACAATACATTAAAGTGTGCAAGTTTGAATTTCTCGCATATTAAAATAAAAATATTCCCGCAATCTAAAGCAAAGCCCAGACGGAAAAGGAGAGAAACCGGAGGTGAAGGAAGAATCAGCGGCATATTGCTAGCAGCAGCAGCAGCGGCGGCAGCAGCTACAGACGAGTCAATTAACAATGATAATATTTACATTGAAATTTAGTGCAAAGTAGCAAAGCGCGCAAAAGCATGATGGCGTCGCCGCCGGCGAGCATACAATTCACACTCACTGCCATGCAAACAAAAATATATATGTATCTATATGAACTATAATCATATATTTGTATGTATATGGATAAGAGCACGTTTAATCCACACTTGCTTATAAATTCAAAAACAAACAAGAAATTGGTAAAATAAATATGACAATTTTTAAATAAACAAAAAATCTAAAAAATCAACAAAACGCCAAACAGCAAGCGGCAAGCGGCGATTCCAGCGAGCTAGGCAATTGATGATGAATGAGTGTCAGCGAGTAGACGATGGGAGCAAGCAACATGATTCAATGACTGACGGCCTGTTCACAAAGACGCCGCGCTTAAATCAGTCAATCACAAAAGTCGACTTTGGCAATAAATATTATTTTTGCTCAGGCTTCGACGACCACACACAAGTCGACGGGATGAAGTTTTATCGTAGACTCACTGAGTAAGTTTATGTATTTCTATCTTTTTTTTGGATGCCTTTCTGACTGAATATCTAGCATTGGTCTTAACTAATTGGACCGGTAAGTGTGGAAACTATTAAAAAATTACTGAGAAACTGTTAGGAAATTGCTCGGACGAAATTACATGAAATATATTGAGAAAGTATTAAGAAACTGTAGAGAAGCTATCGATAAGGTTTTGAGCTGAGAAACTGTTCAGAGAGTATTGGGAAAAAGTTGAGAAGCTAATGAGAATCTGAAAATAAAAAGTTCAAAATTTATTAAGCAAGTATTGACAAATCATTGAGGAACTACTTGAAAAGTATAAAAATATATTTTAGAAACTGTTCAGGACTTCTAGAAAAATGTATGTAAACTTGTTGAAGAGCTACTATTAATGTATTCAGAAATTAATGAGAGTCTATTGAGAGGCTATTCAGAAGCTGTTGAGAAACGATTGAGAAGATATTTCGAACATTTTGAAAAATAAAATTTTGATATGTTTCTATTCAACTAATGAATGTAAAACGCAAAGTCATAGTATGAAATTTTACTCTAAAGCAGAACACTGAAATGCGAGTACATCAACATATTACCTACGTACTACACATATGCAACGGTCAACGCATTACATTCGTCTTAGTTCATCAATAACGGTAAGAAGTCCTATAGCAAAAAGCATTTCCAGCTTTTATATATATATATATATATACAAATATGTGCTTACACAAACTACATAGAGTTTGAGGCAAACCACATAAAAGACTAGGCAACGCGCATAAACTTAGTCACCTTTATCTCTGCCACTCACCGGAAAATGCATTTCCAGGTAACGTTTTTGCTTTGCTCAAGAACAAATATGCATATGATTTGCGTAAATTGAATTTGTAATCAGAGTGTTTATATGAGTCAGTATGAGTATGTACATGAATGTGTTAAATGCACAGGTCGTAATACATGGTCGCTTGTGCTGAAATTGCGGTAAATTTAGAACATGCAAAAAAAAATGCTAAGAAGTCAGTTCGAGATTTTGCGTGAATTCCCTCACGTGATAAGTAAATCACAGCACAGTAAAAAGCAGAAATATAAAGCAGATGAATTTCGTACTAAAATATGAAAGCCCAGGTTTCTGCTGCATCAGGCAGTTGCATATTTCTATGTGAGAGAGAAAAGAAAATATTCTCAGTAACGACGCTCTTTTTTGATGGTATTATTTTAAAGCCAAATAGGCTTATGTGTGAAAGCTTTTAAATATAGTGAAAGCTCTTTTTATTCCTTGTAAAGATGATCGCATTATCTAATATAATTTCAACCTGAAATCGTATTTGTGAAAAAGTCATTGTATTGTCTTTAGGTTGTATTCGCTTCAGCACTATTAAAGTATAAATACATAGCTGAAAGCTCTCTGAAGAAAACTTAAAAAATTCTGTTTATTATGGACATATGATTTAGCCAAATTTTGATTTCTAAATTTGACTCAGCCCTATCTCTGCTTAATAAGAAACTTTTGTAAACTGTGATAAAAGTTCTCTTAAGAAAACTCCAAATACCGCACTTAACTCGAAGTGTATGCAGATTTAAGCTGCTTCATATTAACCTAAGATTTATTAGAATTTATTTTAGCTTAAAATATGTATTTGTGATAAATTTAAAAACTTTTGTTTACAAAATTTAAAATATCGAAAAGCAAAATAAGATAATATGGTAAAAATATGCATTTTAGTCTAGTCACCCAAGCAATAAAAATTTATGCAAAATTAGCACACTTTTAAATTTGCATTAAAATAGAGTAAAAAAAATAATTATTACTTTTAAACTTTAAACATATTAAAATAATTTTTAATATTAGAAATAAAACCATGACCCGTAAAAGGCCTCAAAGAAACAATAAGCAGATCAATAACCGGGCAATATGCGTCATCAACGCCAGACGTTAAATTAATTAAAATTTCAAAATCACCAAAAAGGCAGATATACAAATTAAATTGAATATAAATATGTATTTGCAGTAATTTGAAATAAAGACACATTGAATTAAATTATTATTGCATGCTTTCTGCATA